ATCACTGAATTCAATGAAGTACATTCGGCTATGAAATTCACATGCGAAGAGGAATCCCAAGACAGAATCGCTCTCCTGGATGTCTTACTCACAAGAAAACCAGATGGTAGCATAAAAAGAAATTTGCATAGAAAAAGCACTTGGACAGGAAAATATACACATTTTCACAGCTTCGTTCCTATCAAATATAAAAGAAATTTAGTGAAGACCCTCAGCCACAGAGTTAGAGCTATATGCTCAGAAGAAGTAATTGAAGATGAATTAAGCATTGTATATGATACTTTAATCGAAAATGGCTATCTCGAAAAATCTATCAAGAGACATATGGGAAAGAAAAAGGAAAAGGAGCACTCACTATCTGTGAAAAATAAGCCTCTTTATATACGACTACAATTCATTGGCGATATACCAAGAGAGATGATTGTGAAGAAATTAAGAAAATCAGTCCAAAGAACTTTTACTGCTGGCGAACTACACGTCTTATTATCTACACGACCGATGGTGACTCATCGACTGAAAGATGAAGTACCTAGACTAGCCACTTCTAATTGTATCTATCAATTCAACTGCTCTTGTGGAGCCAGTTGCTCTAGGAACTTGATTTTTCGTGCTCGAGAACATCTCCCAGCATGGTTAAGTAAAGGTGTAGTGAAGACTATTAACAGCTCGATACTGGAACATCTGGTGCAAACAGGACACAAAGCCAGCGTAGATGAATCCTTCTCTATATTATACCGGGTGCCAAATAAATTACCAAAAACATCGAAGCACCACAGGCTCCAAAAAGCAGAGGCTATTGCGATTCGCCTAAAACAACTAGCACTGTGTGTCCAAAAGAAGCAAGTCCAACCCCTACTATTGCCCTGGTCTTCAGTAGAAGCTATAAACTCATGAAATTGTAATTTTATCCTACCTGATTTTTCTGACATTCAGCTTTTTTTATATCGAGGCGTTTCAGGTCTTATCTATCAATATTTGATGGTTTTGGGTTTTTGGAGGCGATCCTTGGTCTTATGTTTTTTGCGAGTTTGCACTTGTCAGCAAGGCGCATCTGCAAGCTTGGATGAACTCATATCCTTTCTGAGTTGCGAAGCCGCGTCACCCTATATTGCAGTCAGAGCCGTTACCATATAACTATTCGGGCCCTCCATTGACCTCCTTTGGGATTTTAGTGAATATTTGATTTGACACTAGTAACTAGTTTGATGCGTCTTGTCCTCTGATTGGTGTGATAGGAGTGGCTAGCTTCAAGCCCAGCCTTCCTCCTCCACCAGCCTTGAGAGGGAGTCAATCGACGATCGATCCCCGAACCAGGTGTGCGGTTGGCGAGTGTTCTACCGTTGAACAACCAACGCACAAATTTCACTATGGGAATATTTAATAATTCGAAACATCAAAAGGTCTGACTGGGTAACAATTTGGTAAGTTTTGGGAGTGGAGTTGCTGGCACCATTCACCAACTGTCCCTCTTTTCCCGAGCTTGGGACCGGCCAGAAAAAACTAGCGAGCTAGCAATCTGGGCGACCGACGTGAAGAATCTAGAAGACCTGGATTTCGCGGATGATTTATGTTTGATGTCACACAAAATCGAAGACTCACGAGCAAAAACCGACAAATTGGTCGAAGAAGCAGCCACAGACGACAGGTCTCCAAGTGAACATAGACTAGCCTATTATTATCGTCATTATAATTAATTACTCGACGTTTTATGTGATTCTTCACTAAAATTGTCAAATTTGAGGATTGCAAAAAAATACACAGTAAGCTATATGAAAACCTCTACCTCAAATTTATAGACTTTGAGAAGGCCTTCGACATCGCAGCATTGACCGTAAAGTAATTTGGAAATTACTCGAGTACTACGGCGTAAAGTGCCCCAAATATTCATCAACCTTATTCGACAGCCGTACGATAACGGAACATGTCAAGTGATCCACAACAGAAAGCTCAGCGAGGCGTTTGGAGTAAACACAGGAGTCAAACAAGGGTGATCATTATTCCTAATTGTGGTGGACTGGATAATGCGTCAGACAGTGGGAAACGGGAAGACAGGGATATCCTGGACCAACCGACGTGAAGAACCTAGAAGACCTGGATTTCGCGATTGGATGATTTATGTTTGATGTCACACAAAATCGAAGACTCACGAGCGAAAACCGACAAACTGGTAGAAGAAGCAGCCGGCGAAGACATGACTTCAAGTCAACATAGACAAGACGGAGGTGATGAAAATGACCAACTAACAACAACAACAGGAGCAACATCCAGTATCAATCACCATCAAAGGGAGGGATTTGAAAGGGGTTACTTCATTCACTCACTTATCTAGGGAGCATTGTCTCAACTACAGGAGGTCGGAACAGACGAGGATGTCAAATCGAGTGAGAATCGGGAAGGCGAGAAACATATTCATCAACCTGAAATCAATCTGGAAATCTTCGTCACTCAGCCAGCATCAACAACAAAATTCAGTCGGATTTTCAATACAAACAACGTCAAGTCAGTCAGCTCTTCTATACGGATGAGAAACTTGGCAGGTGGTCACAAAGAATATTTCCAATAGCCTGTTGCAGACCTTCATCAACAACTGTCTTTGTTGGGCCTATACTGAAGATCAGATGGCCGGGTCAGAAAGAGTCACCAGCAAGAAACTATAAGAACAAAGAAAACCAAGGAACCAATCGCTCGTTGAGGAGGTCGCTGGGTGACATCGCGCGTCAGGCCATTGCACGATTGGAACAAGGCCGAAAGGGAAGCGGCGAGTGGGACGTTAGTGCAAGGGTGACAGAGAAGAGATGGTGTGAACAGGAGTTGAAACAGTGTGGACTAAGATGGATGCAGGTGAAAAGTGCAGCAGAAGACAGGAGCAAGTAAAGACGTGCACTTGAAGTAGCATGTTCCACTAGGAACCCAAGGGAACAATAATAATACTAAATAAGTCTGATTAAAACAAGTTCCAGTTTCCTGAAAATCGAATTTATGTATGAACAAGTTTTATTGGTGTCATTCCTTAAAGGAGATACTTTTAGTTACTCCTGTTTTCTTTCTTCGATAGCAAATACAGAGAATTATTGTTTAAAGTGACTGCCTGTACCATAAAAGCCAGTCAAGAAAGCAGGACAGCGAGACGAATTTCTTTCAAAAGCAGTAAAAACAGGCCCAAAGATCGCTGCAGATGTGCTTGCGCCACAACTGAAAAATGTTTTGGTGTTAGAAATATACCTACCAAATGGAAGTAAGGAAGAAGACTTAGGAATCTGCAAGAACTGGGGCGGAGCCACGTTATAGTCCACGTGAAGTAAAACACTGAATTGCGTTATCTTGGAGAGATTAAAAGATGCCCTGGGCGCCGGACCCTACCAAGAACAAGATGAATCCAGGAATAGCAAATTGTGTGAAGATCAGATTGCAACTCATGGAACACAGCACATAACCTCAGTTAGACCAGTATCTCAGTTTCATCGACTTTGAAATGGCCTCTGAAAGCAATGACTGACAAGTAAACTACTTGGAAACTACTTCACCACTATGACATGCCCGAAATCTTTATTGACTTCACTCTACAGTTATGTGGTAATGCGACATGCTGAATGACTCACAGCGGAAATCTCAGCGAAGCCTTCGAAGAGAAGACAGAAGTAAGACAAGGGTGTCCGCCTGCTATCACAAATGGTACTCCTGATTGTGGCGAATTAGATCATGTAACAGACCATGTGTAGTGAGAGGACAGACCTGCATCTGGCTGCCAAGATGACTATAAAAATTTAAGACTTTGCGGACGATTTATACCCAGTGATACATGAACAAGAAGATCCATGGTGCGACAACCAACTAGTTGATAGAGGAAGCTTCAAAGAAAAGATATCAAGTGGGAAAACCAAGGAAACGAAAATATCTAACCACTATCAATGGGAAAAATCTGAAGGATGTCACGGCTTTCACTTATGGGCACGACAGACTGGAATATCAAAGGCACAGTATAACTACACAGTGCCCAAGTTTTATACTTATATCAATAATATCAAAGGCAGAGGCGGGAATACATAGTGTAACAACAGAAGAGAAGGGCCAGGTAACAGATCCTTTATAAAGGAAATCAACACATATTTATAGATGATCATGTACATTATTATAGAATATTGTTAGCGGAAAAATACAATCTTCTGATCGGTTGTTTCTCATTGAAAGTTAATCTTTCATTTATTTATGGCCGTTTATTGAAGTTCAAATTGTCTCTCTGCGAATTGTATCAACCCACGCGAAGTCTGCTGTGATCGGTTGCTGAATCAGTGTTTGTTCTTATTTTTCTCACGATTAATATTAACAACGTGAACATTGACGCAAATTACTGTCTACCAATTTGGCTAGCTCCCATCACAATAGAAGACATATACTGCTGTGCACTCAGTCTGGAAATCTGCCTCACTCAGCGAATTATGCATTCGCAACTCTAATGTCAAGTCACTCAGTTCTTGTAAGTGATTTAGATACTTGGTATGGGTGTCACAGAAAGCATTCTCAACATGCTGACATGCATCGTTAGCTGCCCGCCTCTGGCTCCATTACACAAGATTAGATACCCGACCAGAAAGTAATAGCAACAAGGGTTTCTGAAAACGAAACAACAAGACTTGTTGTTCGGCAAATATGTCGAAGCAAGTGTAGATGGATAAGATACACACTGAAAAGACTATTGAGTGACATCACGCTGCAGACCGTCAAGTGAGAAACGAAATGGGTGAAGACAACATGGAAGAAATCATGTAAGGAATAGATGAGAGCTTATGGGTACTTCTGGAGCCAGATAAAGACGGCTACAGAATACAGGAGGAAATGGATGGTATGTGCTGTTGAAGCCCTACAGTACACTTGGAGCCTAAGGGAATCATAACAATTAAATATAAACAACTGTTTTCATTAAAACTATTATCTCTGTCGTAAACCACAGAAATTAAACGGTACCAGTCTGGATTATGGCTACGTTCACATCTCTTTTTCAGTTTTCGGTCTATTCAGTTGGGCAAACTGCAACAATATCTTCAGTAAATTTAATAAAAGGTGGCGGATTTATAAAAAATGATTCAATAACTGAATTGAAAACAACACAAGATGAAGTTATAGGCAGGTCAATTATTACTAGACGAATGAACATCTATGTGGAGAACTTAGAAAACCCATGTAAGCTATCGAATAATCTATTTATGTATTTATTCTTACATGCCTTTATTAAATTGTGTTTGATTCCCGTTATTTTCCATAATTAATTATCAAACATTTATATGAAATGCAAGTGTTAGTTTTCAGGGATTTGACTGATTACAGAATTTCATCGTCAGCTGACATTGGTTAGAGAACGATTGGCAAACCAGCTGGGAGTAGTGGACAACTGTTTCGACCTAGTCTGGGGACTCATCAGCACTCTGCACTCACTCGGGTTCGAACTCAAGGTCATTCAGTTACAAAACCAGTGAGCTCGTGGACCATTAAGTCACTGAGATCTATTACAATGGTAAGCTGATGATTTCCACCTTCTGACAGTTCACGATGTAGCGCAACCTATAACATACATTGTCACTGGCGACTATTCGTGATTACATGCTACTTGCCATGCTCCACTGGTCATGAATTCTCATTTCTCATCACCTTTAACCGATGTAAGCTGACGATTAAATCTCAAGGTAATATGAAAACTGGTGAAGTAAAACGTCATGCAACAAAAGGATGGAGTGCTCGCACTAATCACCTTGGAAATCTCAGTCAGCAAGTTAGTGAAACCAGGTTAATAACACTAAAATCATGAATAAAGTAGATTTAATGATATTAAACAGGATTTACAGCAAGTTTTAGGTTAAGCTTATTGTGGATTAGTTTTAGGTTTACCCTGAGGATAGCTTAGGGTTAGGTTAACCTAACAAGGAATAAATTACAGTTGATATGAGTTCGACTAGGGTTGGAATTAGGACTCCTAGATGAAAACATGTGTAGCATGTGTTTTATCTGCTGACACTGCAGTGCAAAGCTGTCACATGTGGAGGAAAATTATGCTATGTGATACCCTTGACGCCCTCATAGTCATTATTTTCATAAATAAATGTGTATTTTATACGCTAAAATCGCCTTTTTCGTTTAACGAGAGTGTTCAGGGCTATCTGAGTGTTGTTTTTATCTTGGTGCTTTACGTTTAACCTCGTCCAGAAACCCTTTCATCACTCGATTATTATTCACAGATTTTCGACACTCATCACACTCAATCGGTACTACTTAGTTTTATGCAAACAAACGATTAAAATTAAAGGATGCACCGAGCAAATATGTCAGTATTTCGCTTATGCTATTAGTAACAATACGACATTGTTGGTAATCGGAGGCAGTCGACTACAGGAAGCCTTGGACTGCCTAGGTTTTGCGCTATCTCACCAGCCACCAAGTTGCAACTGAAACCTTAGGAGAACTCATTCCTCCTCTGAGATTTGAACTCGCCCCACCCAGTGAGTGTTGCAGTCACAGAAGTTATCAATGAGCTATTCGTGCTCGCGACTGACGTCTTGTAGGACTGTATTGGATATTTCTGGTTGGACATTCTGTACTCTTGAAAATTGATCTAAAGCTCTCTAGTGACTGGATATAACATTAATTTGCTTGGGGTTCTAATGAGAAGTCATGACCAGTGGGGTCACTTAGGTAACGGTTGAAAACTGACACTGACCGTTGACGGTGGTTGGCAGTTGCGCAAAAATCACAAATTGGTAATAGTTGGAATTTTTGGCTGAATGGTGAACGGCCTTGCTTCGTAACCAGGATATCGTGAACTTGACCTCCAGTGGAGTTATTTTGTGCGTACTGTGGAAGAATCTGAAGCTAGCACGACGCAACTGTCCAGTATCCCATGGTTTTCAGTGGTTCTTCGACTGGTTTCATTCCATTCAAACAAATCTTGAAAATACAAATACCACAAGTTTAGAATGATGTAGTCTGTTAAAAGGGTAGACTGTCTGTGGGATAACCCAAGGAGTACTCCTAAGAAAAGACAAAGTTTACACATTTTAGATAGAAACCAACTTTAAACAGGAACATTATATCAACAAAACTGGCTACGTAACCTTAGAAGATATTTCTGCTATAAAATAGTGAAAGCTGTAAGTTCAATGAGGTTCAAAGTAAAAGATATTGAGCAAAGAATATACTTTTCGATAATTTCCTCTTCTGGTTTTACAAATATATATATATGTATATATACATAGAATATTCTAGAATAGTTGTCAATATCATTGCTGTTTTTATTAGATGGGTGGGGGTAATCGGCCATAGGAAGCCGTAGACTGCCTAGGTTTCACGTCGGTTGACACTCATTAGCAAGGCGTGTCTGCAACTTCGAAAGAACTCCCCTCTGAGATTCAAACCCGTTTCATCCAGTGCTGAAATCACAAACATTACCACTGAGATACTCATGCTCGCGATTGACCCCCTGTAGGACTGTATTATATATTTTTGATTGAGCATTCTGTATGGCTCTCAGTAGAAATCCTTCCCCTTCCTTTTCTAGGATAGGCTATCATGAATACTGCCATGAAATGTCACAAATCAATATAATTTATTTCACACACAGACCAATTTTCAACGAATCTTCCTTTTTTGCGTATAAAACAAGCGAACAAACAGTTTGAAAAATAAAATACAATACATCAGTCAATTCAGTGTACATTTCTGTTCTATAATATTTTAGCTGGACTGAATTATTTTGTCTCAAGAGAGTCTAAAACTGTTAAAATCGTCGCTTACATACAAATAATTGATAAACCAACGACAAGAGCAATAATTGGTTTTCGACTACAAGTTGGTTTTGAAAAAGTGATTTTTAAAGAATGTAGTATTTCCATTATTGCTGACTACAAGGATATCAAAGGCGTAAGTGACTTTTTTCAAATCACACTTGTTGTTCAGAAATGCTCACTTCATTTCAGGTGTGTGTGGTTAGTTTCGTGCATGACTTTATTACTTGCAGCAAGAGAAACAGAAATAATCACACAGTGACAAATAAATAGAGATTTTCAGTCGAATTATGCTCAGAGTAGTCGATCGTTTTTTTAAAGTATACAAAATAAATGTTTCACTTTCCTTCAAGAAACCAAAAATAAACTGATTGATTCCTCTGAAATCCATCATAACGAAAAAGAGTCAAATTTTTGGCATTGATGTCAAGTCATTCAGTGTTTTAATAAGGTTTAGAGACTTGGTGCATCACGAAAAGCATTTCTAGCAGGTTTCTGAAAACTTTCAAAGAGAACTGCCTTCACTGGTTCCATGTTGAAGATCGGATTGCTTACCAAAAACAAGATAGGCGACAAGGAATTCTTGGAACAGACTGAATGAGAACCAGTTGTTCAATAAGCATGCAGATAAATTAGACATACACTTAGGAGACCACTCAGTAACATTATAGCGTACTAAAGATGCGTCGGTGGCACAGTGGTTAGGACTCTCACCGACCATGCACATGGTCCGGGGTTCGAGCCCACGCCGGCGCACACCTGATATCTATGGTCGGCCTGCAAAATTTGGGCTACCGATATCCATGCTGAAAATTCCATACTTGTACCAAAAATACGGTGTGGAATCAAGCTGTATATCAAAAATAAAAAAAAATAAAATAATTTCAGTTATAATGCTATAGTACATTCACATTTTCACATTCTGCTTTGCACTGACGCTGTACACGGTCAACGACGATCGAGTGAAAACTCAAAAAAAAATGTATTGTTAACGAAATCGAATGAAAGAGTGCTTAACGGAATTAAACGTACATGTAACAAGAAAAAGTGATGTTCAATAATACAGCGGCAAGTATTCTACAAGCATATGCAAAATTAGTTTGTGTGAGCTCATAATATGTGAAGATGAATTAGTTTAATAAGCATGCAGCCAGGCTTAATATAAAGATGCTGCAACATTACATCCAAGGTATCCCGTCAAATGGAGCTCCACTGGGTGTATGAAAGTAACGTGGGGGAGATGGTAACTTACAGACAATCGTGGATCTATCTGATGAATACAGAATATACGATAGAATGGGGATGTGCTGTTGAAGCCCTACGTTTCGCTTGGAACCCAAAGTAAGTATTGTAACAGACGAAACAGGGAAATAATGGGATAAAAGTTTCAAGGATCAATTTTTTCCAAATGTTATTAGAATATGTGTTGACTCTTCTGCAGATTAAACTAGGCAAATCACCTGTGGATACAGAAATTGATTTTCTGGTACTCTTCTTATTAGTCTAACTATTAACGTTGTGATCGAGGTCCATTTGAAAGGTATTTTTAAGAGACATCTTAATTTTGGAAACGAATGGTCTAGCTTAGTTTGAAGTCTTTTGTAGGAATGATATTATCACTTTCATAATGACACTGATAACCAAGCTTAATAATTGTATTGCCAATTAGTTCATCTTCAAATTTCATCAGTAAAATATTCGCCAGGACACGTTTCGCTGGAACTTCGTTAACTTGCTTCTGTCTTGTACGTGTGTCACAAAATCTCGCCTTTGGTGTTCACTGTTTGCTTAAATAAATCCATTTATAGCTTAATAAATTGAGTTAGGATTTTCTGAAAATGCGCATAAACTGATTATTATTCATGTTCAACAATAAGATACTTTAGATGTTAGGAATCACATTTGTTTCCTTATTTGTTGGCAGTGTTCAGATCTTCTATCATCCCATTGATCCCGACGCCTCCCTTCCCCTAGAAACCCATGATTCTGTTGATTATGAATTCAAAAAGTTGTTTTTCAACTTCTGTCATGTGATTATTCCCTGGCAGGACTGGCTGATTTCTGTCTGTAAAGATTACAATATGCTTACCAAGATATGGGGCATGTCGTTCCAACATACCCTGAATTATTAATAGATAATAATAATAATAATAACAGCTTTATTCCAAACAGTATTTGTGGTACAGGTATGGAATTTTCAGCGTGCATTACAGTATATTGCATCTAATTACCTCATAAATTATATAAGATTTTTAAAAATCAAAGATAAATAAATAAAAATAAAATAAATTAGTTATAAATAAATAAAATAAATAAATATTAAAAATTAAGAAAAAAAAAACGTAGAGTATTTCATTTCAAACAATGCAACACAGGATTTGAAATATAAAGTTGATGTGTGGTACTAGATGAGAACAACAGTGTGATAGTAACGAGGAAAGGAAAACAAAAACTAATGGGACTATTTGTTAGAGTGCCGCAGTAAGTTTATCGTGTCATACCTAACGGATTTCTCATCACATAACAGCTGTGCCAGATATGGTATTGTGGAGTTTTTGTATTTGGTAGTCCTAGCATATAGCCTCCTGTAGCTGCTTCTAGTTCTTCCAGATGAAATGCAAGGAGATAGATGCGTATAGAGAGGATGCTTGGGGTCCGACAATATTGTATTCGCTAGTTTCTTACATGACATAATATGTCTATCTACAATAGTGTTCACCAGTTGGTTTAACGATAACCCACTTGCCCTACTAACAGCTTTTAGTGCCCTTCTCAGCGAAGCAAAGTCTTTCTTAAGTAGTCCAGGAAAGACTAATGGGGAGCAGTAAAGGAGGATGGGTAGAATACAAGAATTTACAAACTGAGAAAGTAAAGACTGGTTTATGCCAGACTGCCTAAATTTCCTAATGTAGAACGTTAAGCGAAACATCTTTCTAGTAACTAGCAAGATGTGGGAAGACCAGGAAAGATCGGTGGAAAAACTCAGCCCAAGGTACTTGACATAAGATGTATTTTCAACCTCTGTGTCGTCAATGAGAGTGGGGCCATGTGAGCTAACTAGTTGCTGTAGGTCACATTTACGTCTGAAAGTGAAATTGACTACCTGACATTTAGACGGATTAAGCTTAAGTCCGTTTGAAGAGGACCACTGACTAATTTCCGACAGAAAGCTATTTAATTTGGAACAATCTGACTGAGAGTTGACAGGCATAGAAACCGAGAGGTCATCGGCATATTTAACAAAAGTGGCTACATCAGAATGAGGCAAGTCATGTAAGAAAAACGAGAACAGAAAGGGAGAAAGAACAGCACCTTGAGGAACACCAGCTAAAGTAAGTGAGGTAGTGGAGGATTTTCCATTGTAGACGGTGTACTGCTTCCTTTCAGAAAAATAGGAATGCAACCACTTATTTGTCCAGCTTTCAGCCTGTGTTGCAGCAAGCTTACTTAGCAAGAGAGACCTGGGAACAGAGTCAAATGCAGATGTGTAATCAAGGAAGGCACAGCGAACGTATTTAGCTCCTTTATCTAAACTAGAGACTATGCTATGGTGGAGGACGACAGCGGCATCTAACGTACTCCTACTATGTTTATAAGCAAACTGGTTGGGGTCGTTGAAAGGTTTTAAAGAGGGATCAAGATTAAGTAAAATAAGTCTTTCCATAACTTTCAAAAAGGGTGAGGTAATTGAAATGGGTCTAAACTTAACATTAGGTCCACTTGTAGATTTAGGCACTGGAACGATCTTGATGTTTTTCCATGATTCAGGTATAATACTTTTGGAAAACGATTCGTTGAAAATGTCAGTTAGCGGGGAACACAAGATGTCGGCACACTCTTAAGGATAACAGCAGGAACACCATCAGGACCGAGGGACTGAGTAGGCTTGAGAGATTGAAGACACTTGAGGACATCGTATGTGTTTAAGCATGAGAAGCAGTCATTGTTTACACTATTTGAGTTAGGAATCATAACATTTGCTGGGATACATATGAAGGATTCATTTAGCATGTTAACATCTACAGAAATATCATTCAACATTTGCTTACCACCTGTGATTTCCTTTAATAACTTCCACATATTTGATGGGGATTTACATGAAAGAAACTTCTGGTTATAGAGAGCATTCAATCTTTGTAATTCAAGCTTAATCAAAGTGTTCATTCTCTTAACACCAGATTTGTTTTTCATTTTGAACAACCTTTCTTTTTCACGGCGGAGCTTTTTGAGTTGAGAAGAGGAGAAGCGATCGAGTTTTAAGAAGATTGTCTCTTTTGGACAACAAACATCAAGACAGAAATTAAGATAATGTGTTATGTTGGCAATTGTGTTATCAAGAGCTTGTTCAGTAAATAGATCCCAGTTTGTGTCTTTTAACATGGACCTTAGGTTCAGTATGTTGTCATGGGAATAACATCTGTGTTGTGTTTTCTTTCCAAGGTATGAGAAGACCCTTTTGTGCTGCTTTCCATATACTTTGGGCAATATTCTTATGATACAGTGATCTGAATTTAGTAGTGGGGCTCTTTTTCGAGCTTCAAATATTCCTGCATCGTTTGTAAAAACAAGGTCAAGAGTGTTGTCCATTCTGGTCGGGAAGTTGACAATATTATCGTGTCCCAGTGAAATTAGGAAGCTGTGGTCACTAGAATTAAAATCACCAGTAACTATAGACAAGGAATTTCCGAAGGAGGTGGCAGCAAGGGAAGTAAATTCATCCGCAAATAAAGATAATTCTGTGGAGTTGCATCCAGGAGCAATATACATGTTCGAGATGTAAATGTAGTTGTATTTAGACAAATGTCTAGGTCGACACTTAACGGTGAGACAGTCAATATTATCACTAGAGAATTTGAAACATACATTATTAGACGTACACCATTGTGAATTGATGAAGATGGCAACACCGCCACCGCGTTTCTTCCTGGAACTACACCGATCTTGTCTGAATAGTTTGAAATTATTTAGATACACTAGATTGTCATCATATAGATCATGAAGCCATGTTTCTTGAAGTGATATGATCCCAGTATTATGATATATAATGGAAGACACCAGCGATTGAAGACAGTTAATTTTAGCCGGCAGGGAGCGACAATTGGTACTCATAATTGCGGGAACAGTCATGAATTGAATAGGGGTATTTTTTAATGCTCTCTGCCAGCCGGCATGATGCTTTTTCTTGTCTTTTTTATGGAGTTGCAGATCAGTAGGTTTTAGAGATATTAGATATTCACGAGAATAAATAATCCGATTTGAGGTCATATTTGAATAAGATTTATTGATTAAAATATCAATTAGAAATGAGAAATTAGATGCAATATGATTTGTAATGTTTAAGGTAACTGGTAGCCCAAGATTTAAGCAGGCCGCCACTAGGCTCACTAGTGACGATAGTTGATAGAAAGTCTTGAGCTCAGGTTTCGTACTTACTGGCAATCACCAGAAAAACACATATGCAACTACGACTAAATTGACGCTCCTCGGAGATTCGAACTTGCATTATCCAGTGCGTCATTCAGTCAGGGATGTTGTCACTGAGCTGTTGGGGTTCACTGTCACCAAGCACGATATTTGTGTCTAGTATGTCCTGCCGACCACCTTCGACCAAATAGAAATAATTTCAAGGGCACATTTATGGCGAAGTGTAATGCTTGGGTAACATGTCGTAGGAGTGACTGATGGGAATCAGTTGGCACAACTAAGCAATAATCGAATGACATTGTATTCACTACAATCCTGCATGAGGTAGGCCACAGCGATAATGGCTCTGACTGCAGCACTAGCTAATGAGAGTTAAGAGAATTGAGAAGATGTCAACCCCTTCAAGGTTGAATAGATATTTTTCTAGCGATTCCCTTATGTTCCAACTGACTGAAGATTTTGTATGCATATAAAGAATTATTAATATTCTCTTTGATTTTGAGTGGATAATAGGGCTTCAGCAGCACATCCCCACTTTGTTCTAGTTTTCGCTCTCCTCTTTAGCTGGGTTCACGATGGCCCATAATCTCTCATCTCCTCCTCACGCGATCTTGCCCATTTACCCACGGATAACCCACTCGTCGTTCCCCTTTCAGGTTCCATTTGAGCCATGACCGGGCGTGTGATGTCATTCAACGGTCTCCTCAGTGTGTGCAAAATCCATCTCCATTTTCTCCTACATAGTTTGTTCCCATAATTTTTTGTTGTTGATTCTTTCTGGCCGGTCATTTGATCTTCAGTATGGTGCCAGAGAAGATGGCTGTCGATCATAGTCTGCAGTCTACATGTGAAATCCTCTTCGTGACACGCTAAATATTATATGCACTAATAATAAGGCTTCTACTGAAATCGATTCTGTTTATTCGCATTTAATAGTTGTTTACAATACAAAGTCACTAAATCATTGAAAGCACAGAAATCTTCGAATACTTCTCCGTTCTCAATAATTTCTCCCACAGTCACTAGACCCATGATGACTTCTTCTCCCGTATTGACTTTCATTTTGCCCATATGGACTTCGATGGTGCCACTCGGGATGTTGTCCATAACTGTTTGTAGTTGGCCGTTAAAATCTTCCTTCTTTCCTTGTTCAGCTTTGCTTACAGCTGCGTAGCGCTGGATAAATGTATCTTCCCTTCCTTTTGAGTTTAATCTCTCTGTCATTATCCGGCAGGATGATATTAGTTCCCACTGCATTAGGGCTTTGGATGTTGTTGGTGACATCGTGATGGACTCTCTATCAATGTGTTTCCAATTGTTGTCTGGGTGACTGAAGTAGATTACTGACCCACTAGTTGAAAATTTCGACAGCCCAAATCCATTATATCTGCTCTTGCAGATTCCCAGCACTTCTGTATGAAATCCTCTCATTTTTCTATCAACCTGGACAGCCTCCACAGCCAACTTCGTGAGCTTCACGTATATTCCACGTCCTCATTCGTATTCCAACTTTCATCGAAAGTGATTTCGCCTCTCCCATTCGAGAGAAGAATAAGTTTGCTTTTAATATTTCTCGAATTTTTAGTATTTTTACTCTGTGTTGAAGTTTCTCTAGCAGTTTTATATCTTTTATGGTGTACGGTCTCTATCTTCACGCCAAACCCTCCCTCTTAATTCCGGCTTGGGATTTCATAGAAAACTGGCCAACTAGTAGACTGGGAAAGGTTATGCATTGAAATAAACTATAGAAACATCTACTTTCTCCTCTTGTACATGTTCTATGATACACTTTGTGGTATAATTTCACTCCATCAATGCATTTATAACACTAGAGTTTGAGCAAAAGACTAGTGCAAACAATTGTATGTTCTAATCATCCTTGTTATGAAAAAATGTTTTATTGGCTTTTTCAGTCACCATTACCCTATACAATCCAACTGGTAGAGCCTAAAGCGGAAGTAGAAAAACTAGCCGAGATTAAAATGAGATTAGACATACCACCTGATTCCAAACAGATATACTCTTTACAAATGAAATTTATCGAATATCAACTTGGTGAAATATGTTATACATCAATTTCTGATGTTGGCAGTGGCATTAAAAACCGAATATCCGGTGTAAGTTTAACAGATTTTATTATTTTTTCTGGGTACGAATTATTTCTTATTTCAAATTACAACTTGAATACTATTCCACTGACGTAATTGTGAGTAGTAAATTCTTTTCGAAACGTCATTAGTGAATTTTACTGCATAACAATGTATGATTTTATCAAAATAAATTTTAACCATAATGAAATTATACTCTCAAGTATTGGTTTTTAGGGATTTTGTTTGATTGCATGGAGGATTTCATTATGAGCTGACATCAGTTAGAGGACCATTGGAAAACCTGGGAGTACTGGACAGCTGTTTCGTCCTAGTTTGGGACTCTTCATCAGTACGCACCCACCGAGATTCCAACCCAGGACCTTCTGGTTACAAGGTGAGCTACCTCATAGACCATTGAGCCACTGGGAGCCGATCCAATGGTCCTTAAATTCTAACTTCTGCTAATTCACGACATAGGGCTACCATTTCGAACCCCTGAGGGTGCGTGCTGATGACAAGTGCCAAACTAGGACGAAACAGCTATACAGCACCCCTGTGAATCGCCATGGCTTCTGAGGCTTGAGGAAGTACGATTTGTACTGTTTTAGTGAGATTCCTATATATTCTGTTGAAGTTGCGTTAGCTTTGTGCCCAGATTCGATCAGGTGCTCCAGATAATAGTTATGGGGGAAGGGATTTTTTTCCCCTTTATAAAGCCATGAGGATAAGAGTTCGATATTACTTTTGGATAACAAACGCCGAATATGGACAATATATCTAGCTGCAAACCAGCGGATGAAATGATAGATACACGACAGTGAGGCCAGTAATGGTAGCTTATCGTTCTTGTTCACGAAAATCACTGGTTTCGTAGGGCTGAAGTTCAGTCGCTAAAAAGGCTTTCTTCAGTCAGCGGAATTGGTTAGATTTTATTTGTATAACATTATCTGGTAAAAGGCATTTTTTTCCTTCACGTTCCCAGTGGAACACAGGGCCTCGAGGTAGTGGCTTGAAGTATCTGTAGCAGTGTTTATTTTTACAGTATGGGGTTGCTAGCCTCATGCCCAACCTTTCCTCTTTGCCAGCATTATTTCTGGCTTAGCGAGGTAAAGGAGTGCGTCGGCCGGGGATCGAACCCTGGACCATGTGCATGATCTACGAGCATCCTAACCGCTGATTAAACTAACTGATAGTTCGAAGCACTTTGTTCCGTATGTGAATTTTGCAAAAAAAATTAGAAGACGTAATTCATCTAAAGTGTACGACGTGTTTGAGTGACGTATTCCAGACATTCTGATCACATAGGAGCAGTTTAGTTAATATTATAAATGACAAAGAGAGAATGCATCTGTACTGTCATTTAGGACGATTTTGGGCCATATCACTAATCATCGGAGAAAATGATCGACGGCCAGGCGTGGGTAACACATATCCTTTTCATCACAGTCGATGAAACTTCAAAACTTCGTCGACGGGTTTTTCTTTTTTTACCTAACATTCAACACTAAACCCCAGTGTTACTGACTGTATTTTGCCACTCAACACGGGAGATCGAACGCAGACAACTATTATTGAACACAGCTGAACTATTCATATCTCCCACTGTGCGTCGGTGGCACAGTGGTTAGGACTCCCGCCGACCATGCACATGGTCCGGGGTTCGAGCCCACGCCGGCGCACACCTGATATCTATGGTTGGCCTGCAAAATTTGGGCTACCGATATCCATGCTGAAAATTCCATACTTCTACCAAAAATACAGTGTGGAATCAAGCTGTAAATCAAAAATCAATCAAAAAAAAAAATCAAAAATCAATCTCACAGTCCTGAAGGAGGGTAGAATGGACTGCTAGGCAGTACACATATCCTCTAACCCAATAGCAGTTGTCACATCTATACCAGAGATGACGTTAGTGAAGTGGTCAACATGCTCTACCATTTCACTCCCTATCGATGTAGTCCAGTGGTGTAGCATCATCTTAAATTTGACAGGGTGTGAATTACATGGCGAACATTCTGAGATTTTTGCTCAAAGTTTTCAGAGGTCTCTGCATTTTTTCAGCATTTTCACTCAGGAGGGAGGACGAGACCATTCCTTGATAACAAGACAATCCCTGGGGCCCTGAAGTCAGCTAGGGTTAATTGCATCAGTACATCAACGATGCAGTTAAACAGAAAATGCAATAGTGAGCATCCCTGTCGGACAACGCTTGTTGTCATCACTTCACATGACAACCTTCCGTATGCTCTTACCTGGTTGCGGGAGTTCGAGTAGAATGCTTTTAATAATTCAATGTAATTTTTCGGCAGTCCCTTCACTGTCAAGTATTGACACAATGCTTCTTGGCTGAAAGAGTCGAGTGCCACCCGCAGGTCAAGAAATATGGCAATTGTTTGACGCCGTTAAGTATGCCAGTGTTCCAGAATCTGTCGAAGGGTGAAGGCATGACGGATACGCCCTCTTTGTGGTCTAAAGCTTGCGTGCTTTTTTATGTCCGTTTCTCTACAGCACATCTTATCGTCGCATGATTATTGAGCCTGGAATTTTAGACACCATTTTAGTTAAGATAGCCCCTCTATGATTACACTGGAAGACCAATCTTCCTCCTTGTATATTGGAATAATATATGACTTACAACAATCTAATGGTACTACTTCATATTCTCAGATATTATCCAACACATTGGTTAAACAAGATAGTATTAAGGTTCACAGATTCGGAGATGATCGGAGTCTGCGCATATGTCCCAGAAAGAGCAGTTGCCAGTAAAACTATTTTGAGCTACAGCTTTGAGGATAAGGATAATCTAATCAAGGGGAAATTCACCTTATGAACATTCATAAATGTGAAAATTCCCCGATATTAAACTTCCAAAATAACGCTGGAACTTAAGTAATTGATCTAAAGTTATTTAGATGAAATGAAAAAAGGCTATTATATTAGCTTTCCTGCAAATAATTCTTAAATTTTATTCTTTATTTTGAGTACAGTCCTTTTTGTAAGATGCTCATAAACAAACGGTAGTCCAGGTGTACAAACAAAAGCTAAGCAAAGAAAATTAAAGTTTTATTTCAATTATTTTCTCAATGTTTTTATTTTATTATTGTTTCTAGATGAGACTGTATACAGTTTACCCAATTCAAGGAGTGAAACAGCTAAGATCTAAAGCTAACATTTATTTAGGTATATTGGAAAATCCTACTAATAGCTCACGTGATCATTTTATTGAACTGATAGTAGGAATCAAGCCTCGTCAAGATAACAGTCGTCCTGAAGTAATGAGTACCACTTTGGAAACTACTCTTTCTCTTTATCCGAATCAAACAGAAAAACAGTCAATACTCTTCCCAGTTTTAAATTCTTCAACAGCATTCATACCAGTAAGATAATAAAGTTGAATTTGCTGCTAAATGGAAAGGTTTTTCCAGAGTTTGTTTGTAAGGATTTGATTTGTTTCATGTTTGATCACTGATTGACTTCGGTTACAGAATAGTCGGAAACCTGGGATCCTGGACAGATGTTTCATCCAAGTTTGGAAACCCATCTTAGTAAAATAGACTCAATGGGGTTACAACCCAGGAACTTTGAGTCATAAGTCAGGCTTGGAGAACATTCAGTCAACTTATTGGATCATGAATCCTAATTTCTATCAATTCGTTGCTTTGGTTAGCAGTTTTCTAGAGTTTTAGTGAGGTGTCGTCTTCACTGACATTTTCCAGTAGTCGTTAGAAAATCACGAGTTGGTAGGAGTTAGAGTTCGTCCTGTAACCATTGTATCAAGCATCAGTGTCCAAAGGGTCTGTGAGCTTGTATTGTAGCCTGAAGGTCCTAGGTTCAAACCCCAGTGGGTGCGCACTGCCAATGAATCTAGAACTATTACGAAAAAGCTACGTGGTGTTTTTCTAACTAATGCCAATCCATGGGCAAACATAAAGGGGTTTCAATCACATCTCCTTTCGTTGTAAATATCGTCTAGAACACATGAAGCTTCAACCAGTGAAATGAGACGATTATCTGAGTTCTTTTAAAGTATGAAGGTGAAACATGCAATACAGTTGTGACAATGGAATTAGTTGTCGTAAAGTTTAGGACGACAACAGTATATACATCGACTCATGTCAGTATTATAATGACCTGTTCAGAAAGCTATATGATACCCACACACTAGGTAGTACCCAGAGTTATACGCTAAGTCCTTCGTTTGGTGCAGACTTCATTCTATCAGTCAAGTATGCAATCCAGTTGCCATACGCCAGGCGACACGGGTTAGAATCTCAGGAGGGACATTAGTTCCTTCAAGATTGCAGATAAGGCTTACTGACTAACGAGGGCCAACAAGCACAAAACTATGGTGGATGGCTTCTTGGCGACTGCCTACGACTATCTAATCACAAAAGTTGAGAGAGCACCATGGTGGCGAGCTACCTACTATGCTGACCAAATTAGAAACTTGACTGATATAATTCAGTCTGCATCTAGCATGGTACTAGATGCATAATAATAGTTACTAACTGGTGTTCAATCAAAGCAATAAAAATGATGCGCCTTTATTTTGTAAGTATAGTCACCAAGATGACGAGCCGTTAAACATTATCTTTTTCTGCCCACAGAGACCATGTTTTAACTTTTTCATAGCGATTGCTTCATAAAAGTGTAGTACGTTGGATGTGTTTATCTGCTGAAAGTTTTGACTCCTGTCGATTTTCAAGAATATCTGTGAAGCAGACCATAGAAAGCGAGACCTCAGGAGTACATCGCGTAGACAGAATGACTCTATGAGACCTGGATTTCATAGAGGATTTATGTCTGACGTTATAGAAAATAGATCTACACACGGAAGGCATAACCAGGTAGAAGAAGCAGCGAACACAGGACTTCAAGTGAAAATAGTAAGGATAGAGTTGATGCAGACATGTAACAACTAGTCATTACCACCGGGAGAAGTTACTTCTTCCACTTATATAGGCAGCACAATTTCAACTACAGGCACTATGGATGAACAGAAAGGCGAGGCAAAGCTTCAATTACATAGAATGAATGTGTGAATCCCCTAAACTCATCATAAACAACAAAATTTTGGTAGTCAGTCAGTTCCCCTATTTAAGTCAGAAACCTGCACTGCACTTGAAGAAGAGCACTTTCAACTGGCTACCGTAGACTTTCATCATCATTCGCCTCCGCCGGCTCCATACTGAAGATCAGATAACCAGACAGAAAGAATAAGCAATAGTGAACTCTGGTAACGAGCCAACTAAGAACCTGTCGCCCAATAAATATACTGACAGAGACGGAGATGTGTCAGGCTCACACTGAGTAGGTTGTTGAGAAACAGTATACGTCGAACCCTGGAGTAAAACCGCAGTGGCAGATGACTAGTGAGGTGTCACTTCGGGGGTGATATGAAGGAGATCTTTTAGGCAAGGGGTGACATGGTATGCGCAGTAGAGGACCCAGCTAAAAAGGGCCGCAGATAAAAAGATGTTGAAGCCCCATACTTAACTCAAAACCAAATAGTATGATAATAACTCTGCAAATAGTTACTCCTGTTAACTGCAACAACTACCACAGTTTACTCCTTATCAGATAAGTTTGTTTAAACCCTTTTCTAAGTTACATATTCTGATTGTGTTTACGCTGTAGTAAAGATACGCCCTATCATACAGGATTTGTACAAACGCCATGGCATATACCACAGAACTAAACATGTAACAGAAAAGTGTTAAGACTGCTACGTCTAGAAGAACCATTTCAGAGGACATGATAACACGCAATACTAAGAAAAAAGCCGCATTTACTCAATAATACTTTATATGAAAAGTACTTAGGATCATTGTCAACATACTTGATACTTCATGCACTTCTTCCTATTAATAAACTTGAAAAAAGCAAGAACAGCAATTTTCCCGGGATAATATGAACTCAGCTTTTATTATTTCGAGGATTCTTCTCGAATGGTTACAACCTGAACGATAAAAAATATGAATTACACTAAAGATATGAACATACTTTTCCACGGTCATAAGGAGTAATTGGTAGGAATAAAAAGTAACATTGGTCCGGAATGATTTAAGTGATTAGGAGTTATAAACACTGACTATTTACAGAATAATTAGACAATTAGGCTTGGAAACAAAAAACAGGGTTGCGTATAGAAACAAAGTTTGGCTAGAAAGAGCATAGCAAAAACGCCTCACCTAGTAGCCGATAGAAAAAAGAAAGAAAAGACACAAGGTAGGTTGAGCCATGTATAGATGAGGGAGTATAGTTTGCTAAATGTGAAAAAGGTGACTCATGAAAGTTGTATATTTTTTTGTTATCACCAGGGCAGTGCAAGATTCACCACTATCTCTTTCTGCATACAAGGATTTGGTTTAAGTCGTTTGATGGCAATTGCTTCAGCAAAGCGTAGCAAGCTAGCTTTCTTTTGCTTGTTGATTATTTTGAACAAATTCAGGTTGTCTACAATATGACCAGTGTCCAATAGATGACGAGCAATCGTACTGTTTAATGCTTGCGGACCTTTCAATCTCAGGTTTTTTTGGTATTTGTTCATGAAAGCGGACAATAACCCTTCTCTCTGTTCTTCCAATATTTGCTTTGCCGCGCACATGTAAATTAGTAGACACAAGTTGGAGGTAACATGACACTGTTTGAAAATAAACTGTTGACTAGTCACCAAAAGAATTCATATAGAGTTCTCATTGAGTACGCTCCGGTTACCTCGACAAAATCACACTCAAACTACCCTAAAACCTGTTTTTCATTTAATTCATTTCAATAGCCTAGTCACGCAGTTTCTCTCTTTTTCAAATTTTATTTTAAGTCGGATAAAAATCCACAAGTGTCTATTGAACTTCAAGATCCGGTTGTTGAATCTCCAACAGTCAATCACTATGCAACACTTTTAGCCGTTATCAAATGGTTTGATGCGATTGTCTATAGGCCAGTAAAGATACATTTTCACTTGTCAACTGCCGATTCAGTATTAGTAGAACAAAAATTCTGTTCACTAGGCAGAGCAGTAACAACAGCCGTTCCAGTCAATGCAGAAATGTTAATCACAAAGTAAGCAATAATTATTCATCAATAATGTAAAGTTATTAGTCCTACAAATGAAATTAGTTTTCCAATAATTAGTAATTATTTCATTCAAGAAACGGTCCTTGAAATGAAATCTGCGAGTTTTAATAATTCGAGTAGGAGAAGAGTGGAAACCGAAATCATTCAGATCGAACACACATAAAGTATGTGATCAAAAAATCAATTATACTTACAAAAATCTGTATACTATTGGTTGGCTGAGATGAGTAGATGTATAACAACCAAATCAACCATCGGTGATGCTGGATATATCATTATTATTATGTTATTATTATATATTTTAATTCCTAGACGAACACAAGGCCTCAGCCGTGCGTCTCCACTGCGTTTGGTTCTCTGCCAATGTTTTCACCCCGCTCCAAGTCTGCCCACATGCTTTCATCTTCTCTCCACATGACCTCCTCCAAGTCACCTTCACACTGACGACCAACTCGCCGTTTCCCTTTCGGGTTCTACTCGAGCAATGGCTTGTCTAGTAATGTCACTTGATGGTTTCCTCAGCGTATGGCCACTCCATCTCCATTTCTTCCTGCCTATTTGTTGCCTAATCAGTCTCTGCTGGTTTGATTTGCTCCCAGAGATCCCTGTTACTGATATTTTCTGGCCATTTGATCTTGAGTATTGAGCAAAGACAACTGTTAATGAAGGTCTGAAGTTTATTTGAGATGCTCTTTATGACACGTTAAGTCTCTGATCCGTATAGTTGGTAGCACTGACTGACTTCACATTGGAGTTGCAAATCCGGATCATATTTTTCATGCTGAGTGCTGTTGACCACCACACAAACTGGAGAGTAATGTCTTGCTTTCCTGCTGCTTGCTTTGATATCCTCGTCACTTCTCTCCTCCTGTAATTGAAACGATGCTCCCCAGGTAGGTAGGTAGGTAGGTAGTTACCAATTAAAAGAACGCCAGCAAAAAAAATTCACAGCAGGAAGGGCAGCAAGCGACAACAACCATAAAAAACCTTAGCATTAGTATCACAGTCAGATGCAGTTAACAAAAATGATACGAAAATCATAGATTCACTGATATGAGCTGAATTAGACATGTAATTCCATCAATATATACAATTATGGATACTATTTAGCGTTAGATAGCCACTCGGGGAGTTCCAGTTTAAACATAAAATAAATGTTTGTACACTAAAGTGAAGGTGTTACGTGATGAAGAAGATAGGTGGATCAGACGATGAATTACTAGTGAATGGAGCTGAAGCACAATGACTTCAACACAAACTGTAGGAACGACAGGTTAGAGACAAGAATTACGCAGTCAAATGAAGGAGAGAGTAAAGACATCTAGTTACCATGCAAATGAAAGACTGATAACCGCTTCTTTCTGGACACATAAGTTGGGAGTTCAATCGGTAGCTTCAGCAAACTTAAGAATTGAAATATATTAAAGATTGATAAATTCTTAGGATTTCATGATTTCCACCTCATGACCCGAATTAACATTATGTCTGGTAATGGCACTATTGTAAGCTTTTGTTTCCTTAAGATACCACAAATTCAGAAAATCGACAATGTGCTCTTCTTTATGTTCTCTCACTGTGTGTAGCTCCTTCTCCAGATACATGTAAATTCGTACATCCTGTAAATTGGTAGACACAAGTTGGAGGTAACATGATACTGCTATATGAATTATTTTGGTGACTAGTCAACAGCTTATTTTCAAACAGTATCATGTTACCACTCATTTGTGTTTACCGATTTACAGGATGTGTGCGTCGGTGGTACAGTGGTTAGGACTCTCGCCAACCATGCACATAGTCATAGGTTCCATCCGCTGCCGACGCACACCTGATATCTATGGTCGGCCTGCAAAATTTGGGCTACTGGTATCCATGCTGAAAATTCCATACTTGTACCAAAAGTACAGTGTGGAATCAAGCTGTAATCAAAAATAAAAAATAAATAAACAGAGCTAACCAAAGAAGTGTATCAGTTGACCTTTGATTGAGCAATAAACGGAAACTAACTTAGGTGCAGGATAGTTTCTTACTAGGGAGGTATTTAATTTTCTGAGATGAATGAAAACAGTCTTCTCTTTCATTGTGATTGGCTTGGCGTTTGAACCTTCACGTCTCCCGTGTTCCATAGTGAATTTAACATTCGTATGTGCATTGCTGCATAATCTGAGTGGGTAGGATGCATTACTTTCACTGTCGCACATTACAAATGTGTCATTGACGTATTGACAATATGAAGTTGTTTCGTAGAGTGTGGGCTTGAGTCTTGCTCTCTTAAAGCACATTCACAGGGCAATACACACTTCCTTAGTTACACACCCATAAATATGAAAGGAATGTTGTAAAATGTCTCGCGAGCAGAGCAAGAAAGATAAGTACGGATGACCTCTTGCAAAAGGAATCTGAATATATTCACGATTCCTTGACGGAGATGGGCTATCCGAGTAGTTTCATAAAGAAACATATGAAAACATCAGAGAAACAACCTGAGACTATGAGCGCATGAGAAAAACTTCTATTTATTAAATTTAATGGTGACTTATGAAGTGAGATTCTATTCCAAAGGATTATACGAAGAACATTTTACGCAGCAAACCTATGTTTGTCATTCTCCAGCCGATGAATGATTGGGGCGTAAACGAAGGATAAGCTTGATAGTTTTGCCACATCTATGTGTATTTATCAATTCAACTGCATCTGCAGTGACAGTTATGTTGGGCGTACTACTAGACAGCTTAGCCAACGGGTTAGTGAACATCTCTCATCGTGGTTTGGCAAAGGACAGACAAAAACCATCCGTAGCTCAATTTTGTCATATTTAATTGATAGTGGTCATGTAGTGGAGAAAACGACAGCCTTCAAAGTAATTCATCGTATCCCAGCGAATCTTTCTAATAGACTTCGTATTCGTCTACTGCACACAGCTGAGGCGATAGGCATTCGAACTATTAAGCCTAAACTATGCTGATATTACTGATATTAACTAAACTATGCATTCACTCAAAAGAAGTTTGTACATCCATTATCCCGCCCTTGGCCTATTAAGATATAACTAACTAAAGACTTCTACACCAGCCCTTATTTTTATTTTCAACCCTTATCTTATCTTCCCTTAATCTTATCTTCATTAAAAACGTGTTTCGTTTCCTTCCCTTACAATCTAACATTACGTAATCGGTTCATTTGTTTTTACCAGACTTTATCGACTACTTCCACCTAAACAATTGTTTGTTTAATCATACCGTTTTTCATCAGTATTCGTGTTATCACAGATTGCCTCATTTTTTCATCCTTATTATTGATAAGACCATTATTATTATTATTATCACTATTATTATTAATATTATCATTACCACTATTATGACTAATTGCACAATTTATATTCACCATCGTATTATCCTACAGACAAAACACCATGATTGGTGTATATTTGAATTTTATTTGTAAACTTATATGTATTAGAGTTAAGCCTGATGAGATCTAATTGAAAACAATATTGTTAGCTTAAATGTGTGTTGTTCTAAATTTTACTATGGGAATATTTAATATATATTGAAATAATAAAATGACTAAAAAAAGACAGAAAATTTGGATATGAAAATATGGTAATGTAAATAGGAATTAAGAGAAATTTAAAATAACATGAATAAACAGGAAGTTTGGATAAAAAAAAAGTCAATGGGATAGTCACTATTAAGAAATATTACCTGTTTATGATGGCGACGTCAGGGACAAAGGTTTAACATATTTCTTTTGGATACATAGCATTGGTTTGAGCTTTTGGATGGCTAGTGCCTTAGCTATGCCCAGATGTCTTAATTTTACTCCCTTTAATAGTTTTGATCGAATCTTGTATATTATTTTGAAGGATTTTCTGAATGGCGCTGGATGTCCTGAATTGACCCGATGTTCTGTCACTGAACTTTATACCCCTATTCGTTCTTCTCTTACTAGACAGGATGGATAATGTTCACGAGAGCATTTTTTAAGTTGGCGCATGTTACGGCCGATGTACTCAGCTCCGCAAGAGCAAGTAAACTGGTATATGCACACTTACTATCGTTTTTTTGTTAACATTCTGAGAGGAACATATGGGTTTGAGCGAGGATTTTGGAATTTTCACTGGCAATGGTTTTCGTTTTTGTGCAGTAGGGCTGCCAGTCCTTCCTTCTTTGCTGGGCTTACTACTGGTCTAGTGAGGTTCAAGGGTGAGTCTGTCGGGGAGCCTACCCTGGTTGGCTTGTATTCTACCATGAAACCACGGATGGACAAACTTCATAAGACAGTGAATTTTACTGAGTTTCTTGTTCTATGAAAAAATGATTACTTTCACCGATAGCTGTATGTCAAGATATGCACATGTGTGCACGTTGAATATTTAGCATTATTGATATAAGTATGAGTATAACTTTATTACAGATAAGATTTTATTTTGATAAATCACCCAGTATTTGTTATAGAGTAATATTAACTGATGACGTATCAAGCACGAACTATTGATCATTATCATATCAAGTCACTCATTTATATAAATGAGTGGAATTTACTAAACGTTTGATTAAAAATCAATATAACATAATGTACATACAGAAATAGTGATATGAGTGCTGCAGATCAAATACAGTCATATGGGAAATAAAATGTCTTTTACAGTAAAAATTAGTAAATTGTTAGAATGTTATAATGTACATGAATTGAAATGGAATGGAAAGAAATGGACTAGTTATTACCCTCCTCTGATTTAACTGGCAGTAATAATATCTTCCATATTTCTGGTACTTGCATTGTGTCATTTCTGATGCATGTGTTGGGTGAAGACTCGATGAACCAGAGAGGGTTCAGTGATCAATCTCTCCCTCCACCTACCTATATTATTTTTCAGGATTTAAACCCACTCCCATCCTATTGTGTCGTTGTTTGTTAATGCATACAGTGAAATTGCTGAGCTTTTCTCTAAATTACTTATCTTCTCGGGGTCAATGATTCTCACCTTAGCTAAATTCTTATGATCCGATAGTCTGACTACCTCAGACCTACTAGTTTGAGTCAGCAAGGTTCTTTAACTTACATAGCTGGTCTCTCAGTGAGTTTGTAGGTTTAAATGACACTCTTATTCCTGCTTTGCTGAGAATCCTACTTAGGGCCTCAGATGTCCCCTCCTTATATGATCTAACAGTAGACGCTTTATATTCTCTCTTATTTTTGTTATCATTATTAGTTTCACAATTATTTTTATTTCGCTTTTGGCCTTTACTAATCTTCCTAATGAATTTTATTAGATAGTTATTCAACACCAACGCCGCTTCCTCTATCTGTTTCATTTAATCGTTAAGGTCTTTTCTGTACTACTCAGTGCTACTGCTCGGTTTGTTAGACACTTAACTGGTTGAGACTAATTAAAGTCTAAATATCTATAAGAATGCGCTGGCTTTGCTTTTTATAAACGCTAGTGTGAGGTTTACCTTCTTCTGTTCGCTTGTTTTTACAATCTAACATAGCTAATTCTCCTTGTTCATGTTCTGATTCAAATGTAAATTTTATTCCCTTCACTGGTGAGTTAATACGCGTCACTTGATATGATTATGAATGTTAATAGTTTGTGCTCAAAACCTCATCAGTTAATATTATTATTATTTATTTATTATTATTGTATCCTTTAGTTCCTAGAGGAACATAGGGCTTCAGCTGCGCACCTCCATTGACTTCGGTTTTCTGACAACTTTTTCACCCTGCTCCAGGTCTGTCCACATGCTTTCATCTCCTCCTCGCATGACCTCCTCCAAGTCACCCTTGGACGACCAACTCGCCGCCTCCCTTTCGGGTTCCACTCGAGGGCTTGTCTAGTGATGTCACTTGATGGTTTCCTCAGCGTATGGCCAATCCATCTCCATTTCTTTCTGCCTATTTGTTTCACAATCGGTTCCTGATTGGTTCGCTCCCAGAGATCCCTGTTGCTGATCTTTTCTGGCCATCTGATCTTGAGTATTGAGCGGAGACAGTTGTTAATGAAGGTTTGAAGTTTGTTTGAGATGCTCTTTATGACTCGCCAAGTCTCTGATCCGTATAGTAGCACTGACTTCACATTGGAGTTGAAAATCCGGATCTTATTTTTGATGCTGATTGCTGTTGACCTCCACACAGATTTGAGAGTAATGAAAGCTTGTCTTGCTTTTCCGATTCTGGCTTTGATGTCCTCGTCAGTTCCGCCTGTAGTTGAGACGATGCTTCCCAGGTAGGTGAAGGAGGTTGTTTCTTTCAGGTTCTTCCCATTTATGCTTATTGTGGTCTGTTGGTGTTGTTGATGTTGGCTAGGAATCTTCATTATCTCTGTTTTATCTATGTTCACGTGAAGTCCTATCTTTGATGCTTCTTCTGCCAACTTGTTACTTTTCACTTGCATATCTTCCAGTTTATGGGAAATCAGACATATATCATCGGCGAAATCCAGATCCTCCAAGTCTTTTGTGTCAGTCCATTTTATGCCTGTTCCCTCGTTGGTTGCCGTTGTCTGTCGCATTATCCAATCAATTGCAATCAGGAAGATCATTGGTGATAGTAGACAGCCTTGCCTCACTCCCGTCCTCACTTCGAAGGCTTCCGTAAGTTTCCCGTTGTGGATTACTTGGCATGCAGCATTGTCGTATAACTGTTGGATGAGGTGTATAATTGTCGATGGGACCCCGTAGTAGCGAAGTAGTTTCCAAATGACCTCTCGATCGACGCTGTCGAAGGCCTTTTCAAAGTCGATGAAGTTGAGATAGAGAGGTGACTGCCATTCCAAGCTTTGTTCAATGATGATCCGTAGAGTGGCGATTTGATCAATACATGATTTGTTTCTCCTGAATCCAGCCTGTTCCGGACGAAGTTTTTCATCTAGGGCTTGTTTGATTCTCTCCAGGATGATGCGACTTAGTATCTTGCTTGGAATGGACAGAAGCATAATTCCACGCCAGTTTTTACATTGACTTAAGTCTCCTTTCTTTGGAAGTTTGAATAAGTAACTGTTCTTCCAATCCTCGGGTACTTTGCCCTCTTTCCACACCTTCTCCAGTAGTGGTGTCATCAAGTCCGCTGTTGTCTCTGGGTCTATTTTCAAAGCCTCTGCTGGGATTCCATCTGGTCCCGGTGTTTTCCCAGTTTTAAGCATCTTGATTGCATTCAGGACTTCTGATTTCGTCGGGGGGTCAGTGTTCACTGGTAGTTCTGCTTCCGTTGTTGGTATTGCTGGACGTGTTGTAGGTGGCGGACGATTTAGAAGTCTTTTGAAGTGTTCAACCCAGTGCTTTCTCTGTTCCACCTCTTTGGTGATTGACTTTCCATTGTCGTCCTTTATTGGCTTAATCTGTGTCGAACGTTTGCCCGAAAGGTTCCTAGTTGTTTGGTAGAGTGTGGCGAGGTCTCCTTTGCCTGCAGCTTGTTCTGCTTCGTTTGCCATGGTTTCATAATATTTTCTTTTGTCTTCCCTGGCACTTTTCTTCACTCTTTTGTTCAGTGTATTGTAGCTTGCATTCAGCTCCTGTTTTTGTTGCTCGTCAGTGCACTGGATAATCTTTTGCTTCACTGTCCTTCTCTCTTCTATTAGTTTCCAAGTGTCCGTAGTGAGCCACTGTTTGTCCTGTCTCTTTTTTCTGCCTAGAATTTCTATGCAGGTTTGGCTCCACACCGTTTTCAAGTTGTTCCAGTGCTTTTCAACGCCGACCTTTTCGCTAGTGTTGATTTGTGTCTCGGCTTTGTCCTTTATGCTTGCAATGAAGATGTCCTTTGTAGCCTGGTCCTTCAGCTTTTGAGTGTTGAACTTGGCTTGTGGTCTATCTGCAGCTCCTGATTCCCTGAAAGCTTTTAATTTGATTTGGATTGTCCCTTGTACGAGATAGTGGTCTGAGCCAACGTCTGCTCCTCTTCTTGCTTTTGTGTCCAGTAGGCTGCGCCTCCACTTCCTTGAGATTGAGATGAAGTCGATTTGGTTTTTGGTTTGCCCGTCTGGTGACACCCATGTAGCCTTGTGGATATCTTTGTGCTTGTATACACTGCCACCAATCACCAGTTCGTTGAAGGCGCAGAAGTCGGCGAAGAGTTCTCCGTTTTCATTCATTTCTCCTAGAGCTTCTCTACCCATGATGAGTTCCCTTCCCGTATTGTCTGGTCCCAGTTTGGCGTTCATGTCTCCCATTAGTATTTTCATGTCGCCAGCTGGAGTATTGTCCATTGTTGCCTGTAGTTGCCTGTAGAATTCTTCTTTCTTCTCGAGGTCTGCGTTGTTTGTGGGTGCATAACATTGTATGATTGACACTTTCCTTCCTTTGGAGTTGAACCTGGCGGTCATTATCCTGGACGAAATCGCCTCCCATTGTATCAGGGCTTTCGTTGCCGTTGGTGACATCATGATAGCCACGCCCTCGGTGTGCGTGTGGTTATCTTCTGGGTGACCGGAGTAGATCACTGACTCACCTGTTGACAATTTGGTGAGTCCACTCCCATTCCATCTGCTCTCACATATTCCCAGCACTTGTATTCCGTATCTTTTCATCTCGTTGGCGATCTGGGCAGCTTTCCAGTCTCGTACATAGTTCGGACGTTCCATGTTCCTACACAGACTTTTTCTTTTGGTGCAAGGAGGTTCATCATACTGAAGTTTCTTTAGCAATTTTGTTTACAGGGTGGGGTTGCTAGCCTCACGCCTGAGAAAAGAATGATTACATTAAGTAAAAGTTTAGAGAGAAGCAACTTTTTGGGTTGCTCCCCTCAAAATCAGAAAATAACGGACAAACAATGAGAACAACATCAACAAAGGAAACAGTTCACAGAAAAAAGGGCAAAAAGCGACGACAACTATACAATAAGACAACATGCAATATAGTTCAGTACAGTTAACTAAAATGATATCTTAACCATAAACTCACTGACTTGGAGCAACTTGAACATATAAATCCAACAATATATACAATTATAGATGTGTTTATGTTTAAAAATTCCACAAATCCAAACAGTGGGTTATGTGTATTATCTGTCAATAAGATTGTATTTTTTGGATTCAGTGTTCGAAAGGTTAATAATTGTGATAATTTCCGCAAACTCTTTGCATAAAATTTTACAGTAATAAGAGTTTTTATTAATGAGCAAAATGTAGCGTAATAGTCGAAAAGCGCGCGCGTGTCTCAGTTAATATTACTGTATAACAAACACTGCGTCATTTATCAAAATAAAATATTATCTGCAATGGAGTGGAAATATAGCATTTAGTTCAAATTTAAGTCTTAATTAATTAAATTGTTAAATTAAAACATTTATTACGTTATCTTTCCATCTTCATGTCAACAGAAATTTCAGTCAGATAAAATTCCCATCGATTTATGTAAAACCAGTGGTCAACAATTCTGAGGATAGTTCAATTACAATCAAATATGTAATATACTTCAATGAGCCTAAATCTGTCAAAGTGACTTTCAATGTTTTCTCGGGCATAGATTTTGCAACTAAACAGTTGACACTGACGCCTACTGATTACACTTTTCCAGCTGCAGTGGTAAGTGTAATTTTTTACCATATATGACTAACCAGTACTAGTTCGAGAAGCTAAGATTACCTCCTCCCTCTCTTATTTTTCAAAAGAATGCAATGTCTACCACAGACAGGTCTCTTTTCTTTTCTTTCTTTTTCCTTCATGTTCCCAGTGGAACACAGGGCCTCGAGATAGTGACTTGAAGTTTCTGTAGCAGTGTTTAATTTTAGTGGATGGGGTTGCTTGCCTCATGCCCAACCTTTCCACTTTACCAGCATTATTTCTGGCTTATTGAGGTAAAGGAGTGCGTTGGCAGGGGATCGAACCCCGGACCATGTGCCTAGTCGGCAAGTGTCCGAACCACTGTACCACCGACACACCGCTACAGACAGCAATCATAAAAATTCTGGTTCATTCACTGTGTTTTGTGAAACGATGGGCTGAGCGAATTCCTTTTTTTGGAATAGTGGCTAAGCTGTTCCCATTAATGAAAAATTTAAACATTTTAGAAAATGATTTAAGCCAGAAAATACGTATTTTCAGTGAAGTCGCACCAGACTTTACAGGTACTTAATAAAATACCAGTTGTAGACATCTGAAAGGATACGGATCCATAGGATCAAATAAAATCACGGAGGATGTGTTAAGAACAACAATGAGGAATTGTGAAACTCAGGTGAAAAGACACTCAAATAGTACAACATGATATTACAAATAAAGTTAACATTACAACCAAAAATAAAAAAACAATATTTACAATTAGCCAGGGTCATCGGGATTGATGATTATTCTAGGTTGGAGTTGAAGGCCATGGGAGGAATACGGATTGAACAAAACGTTTCTAAGCACAAAGACAAGGGCTGGAAATCATGTATTATAACTGTCTCAGGTATGCTTAAAAATCGAAGGCGTACAGCCTTGAGAAATTGAGGTGGCGCTTTGTAGAAACAATTCTGAGAGCCGACTGTGTATCACTCTTGAACTCCAAATCGACAAGGTGTGCCAACCTGAATCTCCTGGCTGACTTCACAACCCAATTATCTAACTGACTTGGACGATGCTCAAGAAGGATTAAGAAGATGGAATTTATGAGTCCTACTACCCATGCAACTGTCTCCACCCTGACGTGACCCGACTCAGTAGTTCATCATTCATCTGCGTTACATTCGTGCAACTAATGGTGAATTTTAAACGTAGTCTTGTGACAAAGAATGCTTTAGCTACTATTTTTCATAGTTGCGTCTCCTTTTAACTATGAAGTCATTTAAATATCCGTATATGTTTCTTCTGCACATTCGTTGGAAACCATTTCTGTTTATCTGCCCACATCAAGCTTTAACAAACGTTTCGGTGTATATTTTCTCAAGAGATGTTGTCTGTTTTCCTCATTCAGCGTCAGACTCATTGGTTGAGCAGTTGTTTGTAGCGCTAAATATCGGAGAACTGATGAGATTTCGTTCGAACGGAATAGGAACAAACGACTTCAAATGGTTGCGTTGGCTAACGCACAATGTTTTAGGGAAAATACCGCATTTAATTCTGCTGTTTTGCCTTCTCCTTAGGAAAACATCAAGATAGAGATGATAAGGTTTTGTCCTTCTCCATTCCATATGTTAATACAATTTGTGAATGAGCCGTACTGGACGTTTTGAGAAAGACCTTGATATTGATTTTGTTCCCTATGCAAGATATAAGTATCATCCATGTAACCTCACTTGACACATAAACTTCTCTGCTGTTTGCTATTCAATTCTGATGAATAAACAAAACTTTCCTCTTTATTCTAGCTCCCAAATCAGCAACCATTGGGAAATCTCGGAAATATGTTAATCAGCCGGAGAGACAGTTATTTGCATCCTGATTCATTCACTTTTATCATGGCGAGTATAATCCTCTCACCGAAATCTCGACAAAGCTATAAAATGAGTATTGAAACGTCTAAAGCACCACAGGAAGTTGAAATGTTCATCCCGAAATTTCTAGATACCGGTTTGTCGATTTTTTCTGGAGGAAGTCAATTAAGTGTGATAAATAATACTGCTAATGTTATGCTTGCCAATCATCAATTCGCAGGTTACGTTATTTTATATTTTGTGAAATATTCAATTGTTATTTTCATATTTGTAGATGCATTTGAAGTAGATTGAAATCTATTCTAAATTCTGCTTTTCACTATTTAACCACATCCACCTATGCGAATTTCATAGACGTGAACTTGCCACATCTGTCATGATGAACTATCTAAATAAGACCACTACGATATTTCATTTCTGAACAAGGTATCTACTGATTGAAAGAGAAGGCTACCTTGTCAGACTACCAACGAAGAGTGGTTTAGGCCTGTGCAAGAATTCTCGTGGAATCATGCTCTTTTCCATGCCAAGCAAAATAACCAATTCTTGTCATTCAGGAAGGATTAAAAGGCGCTCTGGATGTATAACAACAGACGGAACAATCTGGATTTAAGAAAGGGAAATTTCTATTTATTTATTTTTTATTTTTTATTACAGCTTGATTCCACACTGTATTTTCGGTACAAGTATGGAATTTTCAGCATGGGTACCGGTAGCCCAAATTTTGCAGGCCGACCATTGACATCAGGTGTGCGTCGGCAGGGGTTCGAACCTCGAATCATGTGCATGGTCGGCGAGAGTCCTAACCACTGTGCCACCGACGCACATATGCTGATCAATCTGTAACGCTGCACGTCATCTTTGAATAGAGCTTCGAATGGCAGCCAAACCTCCACCTCAGCTTCATCGACTTCGAAAAGGCCTTCGACAGACACCGTTGATCACGAAGCAATATGCGAAATTTTCAAACAGTGCAGAGTGCCGTGATTCTAACCAACCTCATTCAGCAGTTATTTGACGATGATGCTACATGTAAAGTGATCTACATCAGAAAAGTCAAGGAGGCATTTGAAGTGATTAAATGAGTAAGACAAGGTTGCCTGTTATCACGGATGATATTCCTAGTTGTGGTGAAATGGATTATTTGTCACACTGCGGGTGGCTAGCCAGATGACGGCAATACGCTAGACCGACGACGAAACTCCAGTATATCTGGATTTTGCGGGTGATTTATGTCGAATGTTAATCGAGTACGAAGAACTACACCTGAAAACCGACAATCGAGCAGAAAAGACAGGCAGCAAAGACAGGCTTTCATGTGAATATTACAGAAGAGGTGGGTGATGAACATAACCAACCAATAAAAGTAATCTCAACAAATGGTACATGGGTAGGAACGCTTTGATCAGATCGTCGAGTAACTTAAGGCTCCTTTCATTCCCTCGAATGCAGCAGGAGTGGGAAACAACAAGTTGAACAGTCGTGCATCGGTGATGTGAAGGCGATCGTTTGAAGAGCAGATGAGGGCTTACGGACAATCGTGAAGCCAAAAGAAAGCGACTGAGGAGAACAAGGGATAATGGATTCGTTCTGTCGAATCTGTGTTCCAGCTGCCACACAGGAGAATAACAGTTACGCAGTGACTTCGTATTCAATGAATTTCGATGAGATTTATGATTTAATTATTTATGTTGATAACTCTTCTTGCAGGAATCCACTAGTTTTTCTCTAGCCGAATTAAGTACATGCAATGGATTTAATTTAAATCTTCTGCACTCAACATAAAGAACAAGATTCTCATTTTCAACACAAATACGAAGTCGGTGAGATCTTCTATTTGAGTTGAAATGATTTTCAACAGGTTAGAATTTTATCAACAAATTCCCACTTCACTGATTCCATAGTAAAGATCAGTAGGACAGAAAGAAACAAACTGTGAAAATAAACCAAACAAAGGCTGATTGCTCATTAAATATGCAGGAGAAAATTGAGATGGATTGGGCAAACATTGAGAAGACCGTCGAGTAACATCACACACTATGCAAAGCATCTCTCGCGTGGAATCCAGGTCATCGGAGGGTCACATGGAGGAGATCGTGTAGCGAGGAGGAGATGAGAGATTATTGGCAACCGTGGACTAAGCTGACGAGGATGGCTGCAAATAGAACAAATTGGAGATGCGTTCTTCAAGCCCAGTATTCACTTCTGTTGTGAATATATTACTAGTTATAAATTAACACACCGTCTGGCTATAAATAAAGAAGATAATGAGATGACGTATACAGGAAAGTTATCGACGGGTGACTAACTTCATGTTTCTATTTTGTTCTCGGTATCAGTGATCTTTCCAGCACAGACTTGACTTTTCTTGCTCATTCAAAGACATGTATGTCACTCCTGTGAGTTCTGAGTGGAACATAAGGCTCTAAGCTAGAGTTTTGAGATTTAAGCAGCATTGGTTTATTTTTACGAGGTAAGGTTGCTAGCCTCACGCCCAACCTCCCCTCTTTAACGACCTTACTACTGGCTAAGCGTTGTTCAGGAGTGGATCAGCCGAGGATTGAACCCAACACCGCGTGTGTGGCTGATGAGCGTCTTATAGCAAATGAACCAACTCTGAAGACAATATTTCTGTATTTCTTAAAGTGCTACATTCACTCACTAGTCATCAGTTTGTTCCACCTGAATCTAGGGTCAAAGAACAGCAAAATTTTATTTTTATCACAAATGAAAATGTAGAAGAAAATAAAGATGGACAGAGCACGTCGAATGAAATCACGCGCCAGACCATTGGTTGTGTGGACCTTGGATACAAAATGGTGAGTGGGTCGTCTGAGGATGACAAGGAGGAAATCGTGACAGGAGGAGGTGACAAACTACAGGCAAGCATGCGTTCAGCTAAAGAGGATAGGAGAGAATAGAAGAAAAAAGGGAAACGTAATGTTGAATGCCTTTGTTCTACTTGGAACCCAAGTGAACAATAATTACATTGTATTATTCTCTTTTGATTAACATTCAAAATCACTTTTTAGATATTACTTTGTTACTATTTATGCGCTTTTAAAACGACTGTTTATCTACTTCTCATTACAGCAATTCATAATATAGAAGGTGGAATTAGCAAATCTGAAGCAACATCCATTAACGTTCTGATCCCTTTAAGTATTGGACCGAGTATTTCAAGTCCGATAAACATGAAACTTATGTTAACCGATGGAAATCACACAGCTGAAACAGCCTATAAATTTCACATTGGTGCAACACTGGTAATTTTATTTTTTAGAATAAAGAACATTTTTGAATTTGGAGATACTTTCAGCTTTGCTAAATTTTCTTCACGAACAAACATCGGTTGGAGAGAGAGAGAGATTACTGCAAACCAGTCAGAAGCACAATACAGCTGTTTCGTCCTAGTTCAGAGCTCTTCATCGGTATAAACCTACTACTTCAACAAGGATTTGAGTGGATACTTACCAAAAGCATTGATTGAAAGTAGCGTTCACTGTATCTATAAATGACAAAGTTACAACTTCCGGGACTAAGTGGACAACGACCTTATTCTTGTAACATAAAGGTGCCAAGTTGGATCCGCAATTGGATCGTAGGTATGCACTAGTGCAAGGTCTCAAAATAGAATGAAACAGCTGTCAACAGGGCTGTCTGGGTTTCATTTCTCTCTCTATTACTGGTGCTGAATTTTGACGATATCTTACAACGCATTTATCGATTTACAAACATCAAGTAAACATTTTGTGTTTGTGCCAAGTAATGCAGAACGGGGAACTCACGGAATCCTTCTAAGTAAAGACAGACGTAAGACAAGACTGCCGGCTATCTTCAGTGATTTTCCTGATTGCGTAAGACTAGATAGTAGGACAGATAGCGTGCAACGAGGAAACAGGCATAAAATGGACCCACACAAACATTTTGGAGGATCTGGACATCGTCAATGATATATGTCTCATTTCCCACAAACTGGACGATATTGCAAGTGAAAGGAAATAAGTTGAGAGAAGAAGCACCAAATGTAAGAATCACTTCAGGTGATGAAGATTTCTGGCCAACAGCAACAACAAAAGACAACAATCAGCCAGCATAAATAGGAGAAGTCTGGAAAAAGCAGCCTCCTCTACCTACGAACCGACCTGAGAAGCACCGTCGTCTCAACTGCAGGCTGACGGAACCAACAGGGATACCAAAGCAACGATCGGGAGGGCAAGGTAAGCTTTCATTATTCTCAAGTCTGTGTGCAGGTCAACAACACTCAGCATGAAAAATAAGATCCGGATTTTCAACTCCAATGTGAAGTCAGTGCGACTCACTATACGGATCAAAGACTTGGCGCGTCATAAAGAGCATCTCCAACAAACTACAGACATTCATTAACAGTTGTCTTTGCTCAATACTCAAGACCAGATGGCCGGCCAGAAAAGATCAGCAACAGGGATCTCTGGCAAAGGGCGAACCAGCCAGGAGCCAACTGTGCAACAAATATGCAGGAAGAACTTGAGACGGATTGGCCATGCTCTGAGAAAACCATCAAGTGACATCAAACGCCAGGCCATCGCTTTATTGGAACCCAAATGGGAAGTGGTGAGTTGGTCGTCAGTGTGAGGGTGAGATGGATGAGTTCATCTGAACGGGAAATGACAGCACGTGGATGGATTTGAAGCAGATGAAAATGTTGGTGAAAAATCGAACGCAATGGAGACGTGCGCCTGAAGCCCTGTGTTCCTCTAGGAACGAAATGAAACAATAATAATGATAATAATTTTGTTTCTATCTACAATAAACAGTGGTCAATAAATCGACTCACTTGTTGCCTTTTTACCGTTTCACTAGCCTTTAGCGTCTGATATTGTGTCATCTGAAACGTATCAAATCGATATTTTCGATTTCGACGATCAACCAGAGTATCTAAATTATAGTCTTACTCCTGGAGAAATTGGAAGGATATACAATCGAATTATATTTAATGTATTCAAATGTGCCCAATACAGAATAACATTTTCAATCACATCAAGAAGTACATGGCCTGCTGATATATTAGATATAATCATATTGGATAATAGTACATTTATGTGGATTCCTAATTTATCTGACTATCAAGTTAATAAATCCACTGGGTAAGTGAATGATGTATTGATCAGATGCAAAAAAGAGTAAGTGTTTTTCGAAGACCAAAATCCTTGAGAATACAATACCTTCTTTATCTACTAAGTCGGATAATAGAAATCTGATAATTGTAGACGTAGAATCACACAGGCATATACAATATGCAGTATTAAGAGGAACCATGTTTTTCGTAAGCCCAAATCGCACCCCAGACTTTCTCTGTTGTTCTCTTATCAATACTGGCTGAATCCGCATTTCTTCAAGCAAACCTTCAAGAACTTATCCTATTCACCAGAATTATTACTTTCACGCGTTCATTGGTTTCAGTTTTGATCATAGTTTGATATCGATTAAGGAACAACCAAAAACTAGGAAATACTGGACAGAAGTTTTATTCTTGTTTCTGACTCTTCAGAATCGCGCACTCATGACCCCACTAGGGGAGCAATCTCGTTGACGATTTAGTTATTGGGAGGAACTCCAACAGTCTAGGAATTCTAACTCTTTTGAAACTGACGATTTTTAACATCGCCAGCTGACATTTTCATCCTTCAGTATTCGCCATCACACTTGACGTGTTAGTTAGTCTCCACTAGCGACAACATTTCACCTTGAAAAACAAGAACCAATAAAAATTAGAATTCATAGGCTATTGGATTCCTTCTCAGTGACTGAGTGGCTAAGCAGTTCCCCTAGTAATCTGATGGTCATCGATTCAATCCTTGCTGAGGCCATGATTAGGTATTAATGTAGATTGTCGGACAAGAGCTTTCCATTACCTTCTGAATTTCGATGGTCTCCAAGCTGGTATCAATCCATGATCAAACTAGAGTTAGTATTTCAAATATCTGGAGTTCGTATAATTCAAAAGTCTACATTTTTTGTTAGGAGACAAAAGTGAATAAAAATCATGAATTAGAGAGCAGTATCATAAGACGGCAATGAAGAATGATGTTGAACGACTAGTCTGAACCATTTCCCAGTTTAAAGATGAGGAATGATAAGACGCAGTGCACCGACCACTTCACGTTTTCAGGAAATCATCCAAACCCTAGTGAAGTGATTGCAGACGAAATCTCAACATTGATACAGAAGGATCCTGTGGCGTTTGCCAACGTACGTAATATGTGCTGCCTAATTGATGTTCTGCGATCAACCAATGAACACGTGTGCTGCGTGGCACTTCGCTGTATCCTTCTTTTAGGCTGTGAGACATGGTCACTAAAAGTGGAATATAAGAAGAGACTAGCTGCCTCTGAATAAGGGTGTCTACGGTCCGTCTCGAAGGTTAAGTGATATAATGTGAAGGGTGGTTTTGAGGTTTATTTCTCCTTTAATTTTTATTATAGCTTGACTCCTCACAGTATTTTTGATACAAGTATGGAATTACCAGCATCTGATATCGGAAGCCCAAATTTAGTAGGCTGGTTTTTGATATCAGGTGTGCGTCGGCCGGGTATCCAAAGCCGGACCATGTTCATGATCGGCGAGCGTCCTGTCACTGTGTCACTAACGCACAGGCGTAGATTACTGGCTAAGGATGGACAGTAAATCAATGAGACAATGACGCTACGTCGACTGAGGTGGCCAGGACATGTGTTGTACGTGCTGAGGTAACGTTTACCTTGACGAGAAATGTTGGCTGATGCAGAATTGGGCCGGAAACGAATTAGGTATGATCAAATTGAAACTTATCTACAAGCCGTAAAACTTTGACTAGTGAATTGCGCCAGTCATGTAGCGAAGTGAAGACTTCTAGACTTGGATCTGATGGTTTTCTGAGAACCTCTTGATGGAGACTACTAGTGACATGGCTCAAAACTCTCATAAGTGGTACAGATGCATTCATTCTTTGTAAGCTGCGAGATCAATCAAACTCTCACGTTTTCCCATGTTATTATTCTCGTTCCTAAAAGTTTTTTCTCATTATATTCCCTTTCAATTACCTTTATTTTGATTACAGCTTGATTCCACACTGTATTTTTGGTACAAGTATGGAATTTTCAGCATGGATACCTGTAGCCCAAATTTTGCAGGCCGACCATAGATATCCGGTGTGCATGGGCAGAGAATCGAACCTCGGACCAAGTGCATGGTCGGCGAGAGTCCAAACCACTATGCCACCGACGCAGTGGCACATTTTGTGTATTACATGAAGTGTAACAACTTGAAATGCTGCACTACTTTGTAATGTTCTCATTGTTGAAACTTTACCAGCCAATTAGTCTGATGACGTATTACTCCAGAACGCAATTCTAAAAAGTCTTTTAAAATTTGTTACTGCTTGATGAAGACACTTACCATTCATAAATAGGAAGACTGACAGTTGCATCATTAGCCCTTGAAAACTTCCCTATAATCAGAAATTCGGTTACCACTTTGGCTAACTCAAACAGATTTATATTACTTCTCATAACTCCATGGTTATATCTTTGTTTAAGGTTCTCAGTATTTTGTCAATAATTCATTTTTATATTCTTTTCATTATTAATGTTTCCTTTAATTCCCAGAGGAACATAGGGCTTCAGCCACGCGTCTCCACTGCGTTTGGTTCTCAGCCAGAATTTTCTCCTGCCTCCAGGTCTGCACACATGCTTTCATCTCCTCTTCACATGACCCCCTCCAAGTTACCCTTACACTGACGACCAACTCGCCGCTTCCCTTTCGGCTTCCACTCAAGGGCTTGCCTAGTGATGTCACTTGATGGTTTCCTTAAAGTATGGTCAATCCATCTCCATTTCTTCCAGCCTATTTGTATCACACTCGGTTCCTGGGTGGTTTGCTCATTGCCAGAGATCCCTGTTGCTGATCTTTTCTGGCCATTTGATCTTGAGTATTGAGCGAAGACAATATATCCCTTTCACTGAGAAAAATTATTAACCCTTATCCTAAATGAAGTCTATATACGTATAGTGATTCATCTTGATTTGAACACTCTTTCTATTTTGGGACAAAATTCAAGAGAATATGCATTTCCTGTGAAATCTCATCAGGCTTTACAATTACACAATAAAATACAATTCATAGGCATTTTAAGCAATGTGGTTCAACGGCATCAAATAGAATCAGAGTTCAGGGGTGTAGCAAATGCATCCTCTTCCATACTAATGAAGTTTCAACATTGTTTTAATTTTTCAAGCTGGAGAAATCTGCACAAACGTTTCTCTCAATGACGAAATAAGGAAAATAGAAAACTAACTAGATGAGAACGGATGTATATAGCATGAATTGACATCAGCTATAGATATACTGAAAACTGGAGATTGCTGGACAGTCATTTAGTCCTAGTTGGAGATTCTTCGGTAATATGCATATAACACACTAATGAGGGTCAAATGCAAGTTGTTAAGACTGTGAAGCCCATAAATTCTAACTTCTGTCTTTGATCCATTTCTCAATGAGGTTGTGGGTGAGTAATGTAAAAAAGAGACACCTATCAGGAGGAAACTCCCGTCAAGTACTCCTCAACGCACCACGTGATGTCGATTCTTGAGCCAATTTGAGAATCTGTATGTGTCTACCTTCGTTCGAACATATTCTTAGTAGACATTTAACATTCACGGAACACTAATAGAGGAAACGATAAGCTGACTAAGAAAAATAAGGACGCTGTTGTCAAATAACTTAGCCAAGTTTTATTTGCAATTTTACTTCACTCACTTAACTGAACCATACTGTTGGTATGAAAACATAATGAATAATCTCTCCAGTGGTGGTTTTAGTTTTATTTTTATTATTGCCCCCCCCCCTTTGGATTCAACAGCATTACTCCATTCTCTTCTTCATTTGGTCGCAAGGTTGCCAGCAAGCTTTCATCTCCACCTCGCACAATCTCCTCTGCGCTGCGCTTGGACTCCCAAATCCTCTCCCATTTACCACCCACGTAACACTCGAAGGTCTGCGGCGCGATATCAGTTGGTGGTCTCTTGAGCATGTATCCAATCCATCTCTATTTTCTTTGTCACAGATTCTGAGTAATAGGGTCTTGATTAGTATGTCCATGGAATCTCTCATTGTTAATTCTTTCGAGCTAGCCATCTAATCTGCAGGCGGCTATTAATTAGGTCTTCAGTAGCCCGGTGAAAACCTTTTTGGTGACACGCTGTGCAAGTCTCTGACCCGTATAAAGGAGCTGACTGACTTGATGTTGGCATCGAAAATTAGAATTTTGTAGCGGAGATTTCCAAGCTGATTCCAGAGTGATAAAAGTTTGTCCTGCCTTTCTGATTCGGGTTTCGAAACTCCGATATGTTCCGCCTGTAATTGAGCTAATCCGTATGATGATTGACCATGAAGCTGTTTTCCCTCATTCTTTTAGTTTTCCGAGTGATTAACATAGCTATGAGCTTTTGAATTTTTAGAAGTGTTGATGTTATCTTCGCTCATTTGCATTTCTAGCCCTATGGCCAGGTTTCTTTCATTTCCAAATAATATACCATCCAGTAAACTAAAAGAGGCTTAGACGTGAGTTAGCTGATTTTAGAACCTGAACGTCCCACATGGAAGACTAGTATTCCACCACTAAGACACCGGCGCACAGCTGTAAAGCGTAGATCAAGAGCCGTGTTTTTTCTGAGCGACGAGCGGTAGTCCCACTGAGAAACAAACCCGGTGGAAGTGACTGTTTTGGTTTATCAGTATCCTGGTAAATATTGGGTTTGCCGTTTAACACAGCGACAATATTTTCAAACAGTATCAAGTAGGAAAGCTACCTGTTACACCTTGTTGTTACTATGGCACTATCTGTCAAATGTATTAATCTCACAAAATTCAGGAGTAACAGACATTATGAACTGGCTCAAATTTACTGAGATAACTAAGCAACGATGCCGGAAAACATAAACTCCTCGGATGCATACTCAGAAGGACTTTGAAAATCCCACCTTAAATTAGCTGCTTTTCAGTGCAATGCAACTTCGAATGAAATATATTTTTCTAATTTTATATGATGGTTAGTTAACGTTCTTCTTCTGAATTGCTTAAATATTTGTTTATTTGATTTCGTAGCGCTGGTTCGCAAACAGTTTATGAGGCTTCCATCCAGTTGAAGATATGTGCTGCTGAAGGGTTCGGAAATGAGGTTGGTTTCAACATTTTATTTTGTCATAATATTAGTTCATTATTCCTTATTTATAAATGTGCACTAGTTGCGGCACTTACGACTTACTATTCTCTCAAACTGAATTGGATAGAAATTAACATTGTGCGTGAATCAATACTGTAGGTTAGTTAGTTTTTTATATGTCAGAATCAATGGCTAATTTGAGCTCATAGTGGTATCTGAAGGCAGAAAAATATTATCACGAACCATTGTATAGTTACAAAGAATTTAGCAAAGAAAATTCTCTTTTCGACGATTTCATTTTCTTAGCTGTACAATCGTATAAAAATATGTGTGCATTTTCAATAGTTGATTTGTAAGGATTAGATTTGTTTTGATTAGTTGATCACAGAATGATATCAGTTAGAGGACCACTAAAAACCAGGGAGTACTGGACACCTGTTTCATCCTAGTTTGGGAATCACTGGAACCCAGGAAGTACGTACTGCCGATGATTCCCAAACTAGGACGAACAGGTGTCCAGTACCCCCTGGTTTTCAGTGATTCTCTAAGTGATATCATTCCGTGGTCAACTCATCAAAACAAATATATGAATTACGATAGAAAATAACAATCAATTTTCTTGTGTGTATGTTTTAAAGTTTGACAGTGAATGGAAACCCTAAAGTGCTATAATATTAGTGCATCGGATTATAAGACACAATATATTAGATATATCAATGAATTACTAAATAAATAGATTCATGTGAACTGTGATCAAGGTTTGACCGAATCGTTCCGAAATAATTGAGCACCGAGTGAGAAGTAGGCATTTGTAAAAAAAAATTATATTTGTAAAAATCTCAGCGAAATTGAAAAGATCGATTGCAACATTTCATTCGGCAATCTCGTCCGAACTTCTTCAGGGAAATTAATCGGAATTAACATAACAGAGGTTGATATATAAAAGGACATTCCCTGTTTTTACAAACTTTGTCCAATTATATGAGTCATGAAACAGGTATCAACATAAATGAAAAACAAAATTGTGTGAACTGTGATCGAAATTTGACCTCAGACCTTCAAAATTAGTCTACTTTTGTTAAACAATTAAAAGAGAGTGTATTTTTCATCAGATTACGTTCAACTAAAAAGTTAGAAGTTAGAATTCAAGGACCATTGGATCGGGTCCCAGTGGCTCAATGGTCTACGAGCTCGCCTTGTAACCAGAAGGTCCTGGGTTCGAACCCCGGTGGGTGCGTACTGATGAAGAGTCCCAAACTAGGACGAAACAGCTGTCCAGTACTCCCAGGTTTTCCAGTGGTTCTCTAACTGATGTCAGCTCATGATTAAATCCTCTATGCAATCAAACAAAATCCCTACGAAACCAATACTTGTAAACTAAAAGACTTAAAGAAGTTAGAAAACAAATCAGTGATTGCACTACATTCGATAGAAACGGGGTACAAAATCAACTTGGATAAGACTCGGGTTCTGCAGAAAGGTTTTGGTTCATATAAAGAAAGACTGACTACAGAAGCGAAGCCCTACATATATGGGTGAATCCCAACAGTTTAAACAGGCGTAAAGGTTTGATGTTAGCTGATGCATGGCAAATCCTGACTAATAAATAAAATTGGATATGTATCAACAACTAGTCCCACTTGGTCGAATTCCCGATTGTCTGCGTCTTCTTATGGAGAGAATAACAAATGTTTTATGACTGCTCACCCACACACACACATACACACACCATTGTATACTGCATATACACATATATTTTAGTTATCTACGACCTTGAACTACTAGTTGAACGTAATCTGATGAAAAATACACTCTCTTTTAATTGTTTAACAAAAGTAGACTAATTTTGAAGGTCTGAGGTCAAATTTCGATCACAGTTCACACAATTTTGTTTATTATTTATGTTGATACCTGTTTCATGACTCATATAATTGGACAAAGTTTGTAAAAACAGGGAATGTCCTTTTATATATCAACCTCTGTTATGTTAATTCCGACTAATTTCCCTGAAGAAGTTCGGACGAGATTGCCGAACGAAATATTGGAATTATTCATTTCAATTTCACTGAGGTTTTTTATAAATATAATTTTTTTTAAAATGCCTAAATAAATAGAGGTCAACTCAAAGTTCAATAAATATGTGTAAAACAAATGATCGGAATATAAATTTCATTGGGAAATGTGAATATTTGAATATAATATGATAGATGAGTGAAGTGTTGTCAAAAAAGTAGACTAGATGAGAGGTTAGAATATGAAAACAAAGTGAAATACAATCAAATAAAACAAAATTGAACATGACATAAAGAAGGATAACAAAGTTTTAATGTGAATATATGTGTAAAACTTGGGCACTGTGGTAGTAAGTAATTTCATATTAGTTTGTTTATTAGATATATAACACAGTGAGACAGTATTATTTATTGGATGACATTTCAAACAAAATTTATTGTTCATAATCATATCAATTATAATCACACGACTTCGAAACTTGGGTTTTATAGCTTTCTTTGTCTCCTCCAATTTGTCGTCTTAGGGGTAGTAGAATTTTCCAGATATCTGGGACAGGTGTTAAATCATTCCTATTTCACGTGTTTGAAGTTGATTCGATAAAATAAACATCCTCTGCCATCAATCTCTCTCTCCACGCTGTGATATTAAATTTTCAAACTGTCATCCTATCCCATTCATCTTATTGCATGGTTGTGTGTAACTGCATGTAGTATTATAGCTGAACTATTATCTAGATTTCTTATCTTATTCAGGTCAACCAATCTATATCTTGCTAGGTTTTTATGTTCGGGTAATCTGACTGCCCCTTTTCTACTATTCTGACCTATGTATTCGACCTGATAGTCATTACAACAGGGTCCTTTAACCAACAAAGCTTGTTTCCAATTGAGTTTGTGGGTTTGAATGCCACTTTTATTCCTGCCTTGTTAGGAATTCTGCGTTAGGTATTTTCCGAGGTTCTTTCCTTGTATAGAATTACTACTGATGATTTAGATTTCTAATTATTAGTGTTGTCATTATACTGAGCATGCTTGATATGCATGACGTCATTAATATTAGTATGATTATCACTAACACAGTTATTACTATTTATTTTATTTTTACATTTTCCTACATACTTTCTGACTAATTTATCAGGGTAATTATGAGGTTCAAGTTTTCTCTTATAAGCCTCACTCCCTGTTTAGATTTCCCTCGGTACTACTCAGTTTTTGTGCTCTATTACTTAAACATTTCACCAGTCCTATTTTTACTGACATTTTTAATATGAATTACATTGTAAAATGAAGACCATGGTAGCTAAAGAGATCATAAAAATTGTTTTGTATACAAAAATCTGGTTTTGTATCATGTATTGTTAAAGAGTCTGCCATACAAAGTAAATGCATCCATGTGCCTTTCGGCCAACTTTGTAGACTATATTAAACGAAGTGTCAGATACTGCATGGTCATTATCCACAATATTTTCCAGTATCGATGAGTTGATGGCCCTACTATTTTCCTTGTTTAACCAAAATGGGAGACGCCGTGGAACACAGCGGGATAAAGCTACGTCCTACGTAGGTGGACATATCAATAAACTATATGTTAGACAATCCAGGTAACATTTCCTAGACATTAAGGTGTATCAGTGGATGGCTAGGGTAGTTTATTTGTAAAAATGCAGCAAAGAACATTTTTCTTGACGATCTTATCAGGCGATTTTCAGTTATTTCACTTGCAGTGTCACCCATAAATTCCTAGTTTAGGTGCACCACATTTTTAGCTACCTTGTCAACCTCTGTGCTTCTTACACAAAGTTGGTTACTGGCCTCTACGGAGCGTAGTGAGAACCCATTCACAGTGAAAGTTTCTTTCAGTTGTTTGAGTTCATCATCAAGACTACCTCGCACCCATGTTAACAAATAACGGATTAGATTCCTTACCACGTTTATGGGAGACAAAGCTGTAGTTTAGGAAACCAAATGAGTTGTTTTCAGTCATATGAGAGAAGGGGAACAGACAATTAAATGTCATATACTAGATATAAGGAGGTGGTAACAAATAACGATGGTTGAGGATAAAATGCTATTAATAGTATTTATGTGATGTGAACATAGTAAAAATAAAAGGTTGTTTTTTGAACGGACTAACAAATGTCAAATGGTATTATTGCATAAAAATCAAAACGAGTGATTCAGTGAAGAGTCAATTTACGATGAATTTTTTCTTAAGCTGAAGAAAATTGTATGAAATACATCCACTTGCGTGTGATCACAGAGTAGGATGGGTCAGAATGAAAGTAAATAAAAAGTAAAATAGTTAGGTGGAGTGAGAGAGACGTCAATCACTGAATCTTTGTTTATCGATTCAACATCGCACATATACAACCAGAATGAGGCAACTTCAAAATCTCTATATCTTCATGTGGAAGAAAAGACTCTCAGCAAAGAGTTACTCTTCTCAGCGACATCATTTTCAGGCTGTACAGTAGCACATATTTACAGAACATTCTCTTATCAACAAGAGAAACATTTCCAAAGATGTATCATAAGATTTACAAAACGTTAGGTAACAAATTACATAATGTGGAAAGCGTTAGTCGAGTAGAAAACAAAATATACGTAAATAATTAGACTGAGAAACGTAATCTATTTTTCAAGTGTTGGTTTGTAGGGATTTTATTGGTTCCAGGATTTCATCATGAACTGACATTGGTAAGAGAGCCATTGGAAAACCTTGGAGTACTGGAAAGCTGTTTCATCTTATTTTGGGGTTCTTCATCAGTACGTCCCAAACTAGTACGAAACAGCTGTCCAATACTTCCAGGTTTTTCAATGACTCTCTAACTAATGTCAGCTCATGATGAAATCCCGTGAGTAGTGTAATTTACGGGATAAAGTGGGATTCATCTAAAAATGCAAAAGAGACAAGTTAACAACTGTGGTAATAATGAGTATCCACTGTTAGGATAAATCACGTCCACTGTAGATTTGATGACTGAACAAACTTCTTATGGATTCAGACTTCATGATTTTACGTGTGAATTGCCATTGCTTCGGCAGTTTGAAGAAACTTGATTTGTACTCCTTTAAAAGATCACCGAGTATTCTGTAGATGAATTTGGAGTCCTTTAATGAGTCAGCTTCGTTTCTAGATTCTATCAGGTGTTTCCCAATATAGCTATGGGGCGGTCGTTTTTCTTCTTCATAAAATCATGATGGCAAGTGTTTGATGATACTTTCGGATAGCGAGAGTTGGGTACGGCCAACATATACAGCTATACACGAGCAAGTGAATTGATAGATAAACACTGATGAAGCCAGCAGTGGCGCCTTATCCTCCTCATTCATGCTAATCACTGGTTTCGTAGAGTTGAAGTTCAGTCGAAAAGAAAGCCTTCTTCAAACATCAGGACAGACGGTTTCTCGGTATATCCGCTCATGAATCTCCACTGAATTGTAGATTCAATTAGAGGAATCTTTTGGGTGCAGAACTTTATACAGAGTTTCAAACGTCACCAATTCATAAATTAGTTTTTACATACATAAACTGATTAACCTTTCCAATAAATGTTTGTTGCTCTAGATGCGTATCGATCTACTTGTTCGTCCCTGGAGCAGAAACTTTAACCAAGTTTCAAAAATTCAACAAACAGTTGAAATCACTGGGAAAATAGAGACTATGGATCGAAGTTCAACAAAAATTTTAACGCCAACTATACTGACAATTTCACCTGAAATCAGTATGAAAGAATACATCCTTAACAACTCGGATGTATTTCCCGATGGAAATGTGAGTTATTCAAATCTGAGGGTCTTTCAAGTTAGGCTGTCTATGTTAACAATAATCTATAATCGCAATTTTTTATTCATGCAACTGGTAATGTGATGATAGCTGGCTGCTAGCCAAACTGGTAGACAGTAATTTACTTCAATGTTTACGTCCCCAATATTCTTCGTGAGAAAAATAAGAACAAATAGTGATTTGATAACCAACCACAGCCTACTTTGCGTAGGCGGATACAATTTGTAGATAGACAATCTGAACTTCAATAAACGGCCTCAAAGAGATGAAAGAATAATGTTTAGCGAGAAACCACCAATAAGAAGACGGTGCTTGTTTCCTTAAGAGAATCTATAGTGATATACATGAAAATCTATAAATATCTGTTGATTTCGTAAATAAACGATCTGTTGCCTGGCCCTTGTCTTCTGCTGTTACATTTAGTGTCGCTGCCTACCGACAAATGGAAAGCCTATGCCCTGCAGTTTTTGATGCAGACATACGGATCTTCAGGCAGAATTTCGAGGCTTCTGCGCAGATAAGTAGCTTTCAAGATCTGTCAGCGATGAAGCTGTTACCTGAGACGCCGCTGGGAGGTGGGGAGAAAGCAGTATATGAAAGTGTGAGGCAAAATACCGACGAGTGTGTGACAGGGTCAGGTAAACAGTTTCCAAAAAGAGAAGGATCACATATGATCACTTTGACATGGGGTTACGCAGACACGAAAGCAATGCTAAACAAAGAGAAACAGGTGAACATCAGCGAGCGCCGAGATTTCAGACAACAAGACAAACGAACAAAGCTCCTAGAACCAACTACAGTAGCAGGGTTTTAATAAAGAGATGAGTGTTATGAGAGCTGGCTGCTAGCCAAACAGGTAGACAGTAATCTATGTCAATGTTTACTACCTCAATATGGATAGTGAGAAAAATAGAAACAAAGACTGATTCAACAGTCAACCACAGCCGACTTTGCGTAGGTGGATACAGTTAGCATATAGGTGATCTGACATTCAAGAAACAGCCACAAAGAGATGCAAGGTCAACTTTCTGTGAGAAACAACAAATCAGAAGATTGTGTTTTTCTGCTAACAATAATATATAATGAGGTACATGAAAATCTATAAATATATGTTGATTTCTTTAGTAAACGATCTGTTGCCTGGCTCTTGTCTTCTGTTTTTACAGTACTACTGCGTTTTTAGTGTGAATGTATACACGTATAACTGTGCAGTCTATTTGAGACTACATGAACAAGAGGTTTGATTTCGATAACTGACAAAAATATGTATATTTCATATGAAATAGCTGTACCAGTAATCACTGTGATTATAGATATATATCTTTTAATTGATAATGTATACATCAACTATATACTACTGATTTGATGTAGATGAGTAGTTGTATACCATTCATACTAACCACTATTGGTTTGCTAGCCAGATCGATGTATCGTAAACTCTGGAGGTTCGTTTCTCTCGCTTGGGCCAAGCTGGTCAATAGTTTACCCAGTCTGACTTAGCTCAGAGAGCCTATATGAGCATCATACAGCTACTCATCTAAATCAATCAATCAATCAATAGTATGTAGTTTTCTGCAAATATGCTTACCTTCTTGGTTACCATTGACGGTAGCAAGCAGATCCTATACCATGATCTAGATAATTTCGGTTTCCAAAGGGAACTTGGGTGAAAATATCATCCCATCAGCTTGGTGCACTGCAAATCGCTAATTTAAAAATTACGATTTGTACTTATTAGTAACGTCTATGTATGTATATGAATCCAGCCGGTAACAAATGTTTTGCACACGTGGTTCCCACGGTATAGTTCGGTGAAGACGCCTATTCTTGTATTTGTCGACGAAGCTGCTCCTGTGCAGCCAGTTTAACTCTAACAAACCTCGTTTTTGTTTTGTGCTCCGGAACACCTACCAGTGTGACTAAGTAAATGTGTTGTGAAAACTGTCCAAAGTTCGACATTAGACCAGTTAGTGCGAAGAGTCAATTAGGCCAGCATTGAAGAATATCCTTCTGTAATCTATCAGGTAGGTATTATTTAACCAAAAGCCTCTCGTCATTGAATACTTCACACAGCAGAGGCCATTGCAATTCGCTGTATTTGACAATATAGCAAGCGCAGCCACGTTACCACTTTCAGGCGCTTTTCAATTGTAATCCATCCATATTATTCAATCGATGTTCATTAAAACAGAATAGTTGTTATTTATTTTATGACAGTGTTACTGGATTTTGGTGACAGTTAATCTGACTGAAATGCACCTCCAGATATATTCCTCACATGCAGATGAACACAAATGTCAGGTTTTTCCCTGATAAAAATGACAACAATAACATTTTGTGACTGAAAATAAACGGTATACAGTAGTAAATAAAACCTCGGAAATTCAAGCCAATAGAAAACCAGTCAAAACTGTCCAATCAGGTTATCATGCCAGTGCATGCATAAATCATGAATTTAGAAAACAGATTGAGCGAAGATATATTTACTTTTTAATTAGATTCTCATTTCTGCGTCTACTCTAATTATTTTAATTAATTCCAGCGTGTTAAGAAAATCAAAACAATATTTTTCTGAACACTTCGCCGTGTAAGGCACAGCTTCTTCATCAGATTTATTCGGATTATAATTAATCATCATGATGATTAATTATCTTGTTTTGATTTTCTTAACACGCTGGGGTTAATTTAAATAATTTATAATGAATCAATCTGACTCGGCGCTCAAATTATTCCAGGAAATTCGTAACACCTACGGTCTGGAAACCTATAATCTACTCTAATATATATAGCATTTTTATTCCAATACACAACAGTTGGCCAATAAGTTTGTTAACAATAATTAAACAGTGTCAAAATGTCAATCGGCTGACAATTAACGAAGAAAATCAATACACATTTAAAAGGTGGAAATGGTTAGAATAAATTAATTTTACAAGGATAACACGTAATTAAAGATAAAGTGGTCAGAAAAAATGAAATAATTTGAGCAGTTATATTTTTATAGGTTTAGGATGAGAAGGGCGAAGTAGTCCTGTTTATGAATTCTTGTAACGATGGCCACGGTAAGAAAAGTGGCTGTACATTTTTTTCTGAACACGTAGACCCAGCTTCTTCAGGTGAATTCCGATTGCTTCAGCTGTTTGTAGAAGACAGACTCGTAGAGCGAAATTCAGATTAGTCGGAATGCGATAAATAATTTTAAATGCAGTATTAACATCAACCTTATACTCAGTATCAACAACATGTGCTAAAATAGAACTACGAATAGATCTTGTTTGTCCCTTGCTTAACCATGGTGGATGATGTTCGGAAATACAACGATGAACTTTCCTAATTGTACACCCAATGTAGCTGGCTCCACACCTGCAGTCAAACTGATAGATACACAAAGAAGAGGCAAATTTAGATAGTTTATCCTTATTTCTCGAACATAAAACAGGGGTGGTTGTGAAAAGACAACGTAATAAAAATGCTATATATATTGGAGTAGAGCCAGTGATGAGGATCTAATTGCAAGGTAAATATTTCTTCGCTCAATCTTTCTGTTTTCTAAATGTCTAAATGGGGATTTTTTCTATACTGAAATCATGAATTTATGGTAAACAGAGATAGGCTGTTCATCTTAACTTTGTTAACAGCTATGATCCTTTAGTTATTATAGGCTGTAAAAACTGAAGAAGTTAACGAAAAGAATGTTCAGTGTTCACCAGTCAGTCTTCTAGAGCATAAAATAACAAAATTCCCTAGAATAAAAATATGTCGTCAGTTTCGCCTGATATTTTCTCATCAGCCTCTGTCTGTTTACCTGAAATTACAATGGTCAAAATAGAAATAAAACGACAAACTTCAGTGTAAGAATGCATATTGTGCCATTGTAATGTGAATATCATATATTTTATTGTTAGATACCGTCAACCCATATGCACTGCAAAGTAGAAATCATTCTGAGAGTAATATAGAAAAGAAAGTGAAAATGATAGGCACCGATAGCCACTATTATTACGTAAGACCTCAGTAAGATTATCGTTCATAAGACTGAAATCAGCTCAGCAGACTGAAGCCATGCTGAGAAATAGTGGTCATTGAGCTGCACCATATCAGGGTGAAGTGGGTACACAATGAAACCACTGGTTGACAGCAGTGCCCTATGACCAGTTGACATAGTCAGAATATACAAGTCACTGAATTCTGAACGAAGTGGCATAGTGGTCAGCGACTTTCCTCTCAGGAAGGCTTCCAGTTCGATCCGTGTTGTATTCGCAAGTGCGAACTACTGAGCAGCCGCTAACTAGGAGGAAACCGCTGTCCAGTTAATCTATATTCTTTCCGTCATTCACCGTTGGTGGCGCAACAGTTAGTACTCTTGCCGATCATGCGCATGGTCCGGGGTTTGATCTCCTGTCGACGCATACCTGATATTGATGATCGGCCTGCACAATTTGGGCTACCGATATCACATGCTGAAAAATCCATACTTCTACTAAAACGTACTGTGTGGAATCAAGCCCCCAGCAACTTATTCGGTTCCCGGCAGATGATATTGAAAGACTCACGAGTGCCGAATTTATGTTCTGTTTTGCATCAAGTGGTCTAACATCGAAGTGTTAATGCCCTTGACTTAATGCCTTTATTTCGTGCTTAGGAACATGAAAGATCAAGTTCCCACAGCAACGGACGATTCAACAGTCTGTAGAGAAACAGATGAGTTCAGAGATACCTAGAATACACAAATGAAGTGCTAAAGCTGTCACAAGATCCATTATGTGAATTCTTTGAATATTTCAGTCGACTGATGGAATTTTTGTCAGTCATTATAATTACTTCCTATGGTATCAAGAAGTTTCTATTTTTTTAATAACACAATTTGAGATAGATTCACGCCGCATCCATTGTCCAGTTGAATTTGAAAGGATAATCCTTCAAACATTTATTATGAGGATGAATGAAACTGTATACCTTCCTCATTCGTTCTACACTATGCACTGCTTGTAGTGACTGAAAACGGCGTATTGTGCTGAATACTCTGAAAAGCATTCATCGCGTTCTACCGTATAGCTGAACAAAACTTCCTTGAGTTACGCAAAACGACAAAGTTTTCCGAAGACAGTAAAACACAATGATTTTCCACAAAATCTTTGCTACCACTTAACAGTAATATCATGTCAGATAACTAGAATTATTATTTTAACAGTGCCGTTAGGCATCTATGCAGATCCCTCACTATCTCATTTACAAAACAACCACTTTACAACAAAATTATTTAACCAAATCAACCGCGAGAAGTACCTGAGATCCAAGCAGAATATTTTTAACAAGATGGGTTCAAAACTCTGTCGGCGAGAATCACACACCGAAGAAACAGTCTCAAATCAGAGTGGCCCTGATCTTATTCATACAAAATTGCAGCCATAAATTAACACATTATATATATCACTACACAGACATAAAGAGAAGCGATAAAATTAGAGATTAAACAGGGATGAAAATGAATAGACAGGATTAAGTCAATGAATGACATACAAATTAGGAGAAAAGAGTATACAATTGGTGGATGGTGGCTAGCAGTGGAATCCAGGATGCGCATTTCCTCCTATTTGGGATTCGTCAGCTGGATGTACCTGCATTTCTCAGTGAGTGATGATGTTCCTACTGTGGCTCGAACCCAGTACCCATAGTTTCAAACGCCAAAGCGTTATCCAATAGACCACTTGGGCCACGAGAACCACCTCTTGTGCGACGGGTCATATTAATTATTGAATTGAATTTTTGATTTTCCCGTCGATTGATTGGACCGAAGTGCTCGGTCTCAGGTTCACATGTCGGCTTCTTGTGCAGATGCTTCGACGATGTCTGGGGATTTGATTTGTATACAATTGTTGGATGGTGGCTAGCAGTGGAATCCAGGATGCGCATTTCGTCCTAATTGGGACTCGTCAGCTGGATGTACCTGCATTTCTCAGTGAGTGATGATGTTCCCACTGAGGCTCGAACCCAGTACCCATAGTTTCAAACGCCAAAGCGTTATCCACTAGACCACTTGGGCCAGGATATCGTCGAAGCATCTGCACAAGAAGCCGACATGTCAACCTGAGACCGAGCACTTCGGTTCAATCAATCGACGGGAAAATCAAAAATTCAATTCAATAGGAGAAAAGAGGTTGACAATTGGAAAGTTATTTTGATTGAACACTAGTAACTAGTGTGATGTGTCTAGTCCTATCTTTGGTGCAGACTGAATTCTATTCTAAATAATGTGGTGACCACATTGCTAAACATGACTGATAGAATTCAGCCTGCACCAAAGATAAGAGTAAACACTTCACACTAGTTACGAATGTCCAATGAAAATACCCACTACAATCCTACAGGAGGTCAATCATCAGCCAGCCCGAATAGCTCAGTGGTAACATCTCTGACTGCAGCACTCAGTGACGCCGGTTCCAATCTCAGAAGAGGCATGAGCTCCTTCAAGGTTGCAGATATGCCTTGCTGACTGGTGTGTGCCAACTAGCACGAAACCTGGGTCCAAGGTTTCCTGTAGCTGATTGCCTCCAACTACCTAATATCATCAAATTAAAAGGTTAGCTGGAATATCTGAACAAGTAGCAATATTGGATTTTCGGAATTACTATTTTGTAACGTCGTTGTCATCAAAAGTGCTCAAATAACTAGTTAATAGATGCCAAAAAAATGAATTTGGTTAGCTGATAGAGAAAATTGCTAACTACCCTGTCTTCTGATGAAGATGCTAACACTCAAGCAACAATTTGTTACTTTTAACCGTTGACTGCTTATGTTCGACCGAAATACCCGGTGTCTTCTGGTTTGCCAGCTGCTAGTACGGAAGCTTTAGTGATGTTTTCAAAGAATACTTTGTAGTTATTTGCGTACTGTGTGACCAGCGGTGGAATCCAACATGATGCTTTCGTCCCGTCTGGCACTCGTCAGGTGGGTGCGCCTGCATTCCCATTAAGACTCAAATTATTATTATTTCCTTTAATTTCTAAAGGAACATAGGGCCTAAGATGCACGTCTTTATTGCCTTCAGTCCTCTCCCACAGTTTTCACCTGGCTCCAGGTCTGCCCACATGCTTTCATCTCCTCTTCACATAACCTCCTCCAAGTCACCCTTGCACTGACGACCGACTCGCCGCTTCCCTCTCGGGTTCCACTAGAGGGCTTGTCCAGTGATGTCACTTGCGGGTTTCCTCAGAGTATGCACAATTCATCTCCATTTCTTCCTGCCTGTTTGTTTCACGATCGGTTCCTCGTTGATTCATTCCCAGAGATCCTTAATGCTGATCTTTTCTGAACGGCCATCTTATCTTGAGTAGTATTGAGCGTAGAGAGCTATTGATGACGGTCTGTAGTTTGTTTAACGTGCTCTTTATGACGCTCCAAATCTGTAATCCGTATAGTGCGTAGCACTGACCTCATATTGGAGTTGAAAAACAGATCGTATTTTTCATGCTGAGTGCTGTTGACCTCCAAACAGACTCGACAGTAATGAAAGCTTGTCTTGCTTTCCCAATCCTTGCTTTGATACCCTCGTCACTTCCATCCTCATGTAGTTGAAACAATGCCTCCCAGGTAGGTGAAGGAGGTTGTTTCTTCCAGGTTCCTTTTGGTGTTGCCCAGGGATCTTCATCACCTCTGTTTTTGCTATGTTTATTTGGAGTGCTATCACTGATGCTTAAATCCTACGGACAATTATTTTAGCACTTGAGATGACAGGTGCACGGTTCGAGACTCAGTTGAAACACCATCACTTAGTCGGGATGTGGGCACATCCAGCTGATGAGTACCAAAAATGTATCTACTGGCAGTTCCATGACCCGTTACTTTCATTTTTTAATTACCTATCTGAAATAAGAACATTTGTGTAATATACATCAACAGTAACTAATTATATATATATATATATATATATATATATATATATCCTTTCAGATTTTCAGTATAAAAGCTGAAACAATTGACAAATTACCTCGTGGACCAGGTGATACAGTTGAATTTATATTCGATATTCGAATTCCAGAATATACTAAACTACCAAACCTCACACTGATATTTAATTCTGGTGAAATCAATGGAGAAAATGAATCAGTGTTCACAATTTTAAATGTGGATGTAAATAATGATAGTAGTATAATGGCTTTACAAACTGAAAATGCTGAAGTAGCCTACTCATCTAAATATCTGAATGGTCAACAGGATATCGCAACAGTTAATTTTGGCGATTTAGTTAATCCAGGTATTCAGTTTTGTTTTAACTTAACGTAAATGATTATTTTTGTCTTCTGAATAAACTGGCGCGAAATAATCCTCTTGTTCACGCCAAGTGAAATACTAAGTCCTGTCATTATGGAGTGATTTAAAGGTGCACTGGATACAGAACTCTACCGCCAATCGGAACAAGCTGGATTCAGGAAAGGCAAATCATATGATGATCGAACTGCAGCTCTAGGCTTCATCATCGACTGCATCGACCGAGGCGTAATCTGGAAACTACTTCAACACTGCAACATGCAGTACCGAAGTCCTTATTAACATTATTCAACAGCTGGCTATATGGCGATGCCGCATGTCAGTTGATCCACAACGGGAAATTCAGTGCATACAGAAGTAAGACAAGGTGGCTGCCTATTATCACCGATACTTTTCCTAATTGTGATGGACTGGATTATGCGTCAGACTGTGTGGAGCAAGAGGACAGGAATACACTGGACCCCCAATAAGAAGACTCTGGAAGATCTGGATTTTGCTCATGGGTGATATATGTCTGAAGTTACACAGGCTGTAAGACTTACAGGCGAACACCGATAAACTGCCTCTCTAGAGGTGAAGACAGAATTGCAGGTGAACATAGAGAAGAGGTAGGTGATGAATACAACTAACCAACAACAGTAATAACAACCAGCATCAATCTTCATCTGTGAGAGAGAGAGTTGCCAGGGGCTTCTTACGTCATTTATGTAGGAAATATTGTTTCAACTACAGGTAGGAAGGATGATGATATCAAAACCAGAATGAGAAAGTCAGGGTACACCTTCACCGCTCTGAAATTAGTTTGGAAATCTTTAGCACTCAGCAACTAGAAGAAAACTCCAAAATATAAACACAAATGTTGCGTCTGTGGTTCCACATTTTTCAGGAACTTGCATCGCGTACCAGGCTATTTAATAACCTCATCAACAGCTGCCGTGGCTCTGCACTGAAGATCAGGGGGCCAAAAGGAAATAGCAACAAGAAAATTATGGAAGAAACTAATCAGGAAACTATTGCACAGTAATTATGACGAAGAAAATAGAGATAGATCAGACATACACCTAAGGAAATGGTTGACCAGCTAGGGTTCCAAGTGGGATATGGAGGGGGTGGTGCCAGAAGAAGATGTCAGGTTGTGCCCAATCCTGATCTCAGCCAAAGGGGAAAGCACAAAATAAGAAAAACGTGGAGACTTGCTGTTGAATCCATATGTTTCACTGGGAAGTAAAGAGAAAAGTACTAGTATTGAACACATATAACTAATTTTCATAGCGAATTCTATTCAAACCGAATAAACACTTCATGTTGGATGAATGATAATGTAAGAAGCAAGAATAGAAAATAAGGTAGAACATTATGCGCATGTGTGTAAGATGTCCATTATATTTAAAAAGAAAAACAGGTTTGTTTATTCAAGTGCAGCAATAAGAAGTGGGGGAGTGAACATATAGGATGGAGGTTTATAACTATACAGCGTGACGTAATGTAGTATTTAAGTACATATACGTTATTGCTCCTTTGCATCTCAAGAGGAATACAAGGCCTATTCATTCCACCTCCATTACATTTTTTTCTCTGCAATTCTCTTCCACCGGTCTCATAATTGCCTATAAGGTCTCATCTCCATCTCGTACGACCTCCTCTTGTCACCCTCAAACTTCTACTGGGTCTCCACCTGAGTGCCTGGCGTATTGTAAACAACAGACAAGATGACGATGAAATTGGATGCAAGGTAGATCAGTCAGAAAGCCATTGAAAACCAGTGAGTACCGGACATTTGTTTCCTCTAATTTGGAACTCATCACGCATGACACCACCAGGGGTTTAACCAAGAATACTCAGGTTACTAGACAGGTCTACTGGCCATTTCGCCATTGGGATGGGATCACTTTTTTCAAACACCAATCTAATTGGTGTAAGCTAGTGATGATCTGACTTTCAAATGATTCCTGCAAACCAACGCTTCGTGTGGAGAATAAGATGGTGGCATCGTCCACCTTGTCAGCTTCTCACCAAATGCGTAGAGCCTGAAGAATTTTATACGCTAATGCACAGAAAAGTTTTCAACATATTATCAAACGTTACATAATGTTAGATGACAGGAGACTTCAAACTTATTAAACTGTTTGAAATTCCCCATTAAAATTTTCAAAAGAATGGGTACTGAAAAAAAAACTCTTTCTGATAACTTCATAATCAGGCTCTACGGTTATATATACATTATAGTGAGTTAATGATTTAGTGTTATGAACAGCATTAATGTTTAAATAACATCGAATCAATAATATCAGTAGTTTACAGTTCAGTAGCATCAACGTAACAATAAACTACTGAAGGCTGTGGCAAATGTAGTGGATGGACTTGCTTCTTCTGCACACAAAAACTAGCTGTTTGAAGCGAATTGCCATAGCCTCTACTGTTTGGAGCTTGGGGTGCTTCGATGATTTTGGCAATTTATTTGGCATCCGGTAGATGAAAAAGAAGGATTCTTCAACGCTGGCTTTTGGGTGCTTTGTACCAGATCGTGCATTGTCGAACTGTTGATGGTTTTCACTACAACTTTACTTAGCCAGAGTGGGAGATGTTCTCGAGCACGAAAATCAAGTTCCTTGAACAACGGCCGATAAAACCCGCTCCAAAAGCGCAGTTGAACTGATAGATAGAATTTGAAGTGGCTAGTTTAGATTCTTCCTCTTTCAACTGAGGAATCAGCATCGGCCATGTAGAAAACAAGACGTGTAGTTCGCCACCATTAAAAGTTCTTTGAATAGATTTCCTTAATTTCTTCGTAATTATTTCACCTGGTATATCGCCCTTGAATTGCAGTTGTATATAAAGTAGCTTCTTGTCTACGGTAGTGAGTAATCCTTTTTCTGCTTTCTTTGCCGTGTGTTTCTTCATAAATTTGTCGGGATACCTATTTTTAATCGAAGTGTCATACTCAGAAAGTCATAGTTCATTGTTTTTACCCAGAAATTTCAAGTTTCAACTAAGAATTAATGTTTGCATACCATAATAAAGGAGTTACGTGATCAAAAGAATAGGAGAATCAGATAATGTTTAAGTGATAAACTGGTTTTAAACACAGTGAGTTCAACACAAACTATTGAAATTACATGCAGGTAGAGTTAAAGTTTGTCAGAAGCAAGACAGGTCAGAGCTGAAGATTACGTCATCAAACGAAAGGGAGAATAAAGACATCTCGTTACAACGGAAAGAAAAGTCCGAAAACTCCTTTCTGAATATATAAATCTAGTTTTAGGCGTATGACAGCGATCAACACGATGAATTTTAGAATAATTGAATTATATTGTCTACGGAAAATTTTAAAGTATTTCACGATGTTCACCCAGTAAACCTTATTCATGAGATGCCCGACAATATCACTTAGCAGTGTTCCTTTGAGCTTTCAGCGTTTTCGTAAATGTTCAGAAAATCGTCATGTCCCTTTCTTTCTGTCTTTTCAAAGTAAATGCCACCACAGATGCATGTAACTTTGTATACACAGCTAAAACTAATATACGAAGAGTAACTGTCAACCGTTGACTGCATCAAAGCTCCAGACGTACGATGAGAGAGAACCAGCTTAGCTGAAGGATAGGTACTTGCCAGTGAGGTGTTTGTTCTTAAACTGACTATTTCTGTTATATTATCAGTGCTGAAATCAAGTTGAATAAGGATGTTCTTCTTTTCAACTTTGAATTTTTTGGCGTTAATATATGTTCTCATGTTCCCGTGAATACCTGTAAGAATACGATAGGAAGGTTACATCATTTTTATTCCATTTACCAAAGACTGATGGTGAGTAGAAATAAGGAAATTTGTTTTTTATCTGATTTGAATGATGAATTGCTTATGCAGGTAATTTGAAATACTTTTATGTTTAATTTCGTCCCTGTAACAAGTCAGAAAGGTGTTATGACATAATACCGTAGATAAGAAACCTTTGTATCTGGAGTTAAGTTACAAGGGGTGAATTGCAGCTGACATTTTAAAATGTCTACTTAAAAGAACAGTAGAGGGAGCGTTTCCTCAAGCTAAACTGGTACCCAGCTTTTACATTAAACCAGTACTCACACAACGAGTCAAAGGTAAATTATCAAAGTTGGCCTCATCAGTGTTTATCTATTAATTCAACTGCTCATGTGGAGCTAGTTACATTGGCCGTATGCGCACGCAATTATATACCTCTATAGTTGATTAAAGGGGCAACTAAAAGCGTAAATAGTGCAGTCTTGACCCACTTGTTACACAATGGCCACTCGATAAAACTTGACCAGGCGTTCTCAGTTATTAACAGAGTTCCTGGTAATCTATCCAGAGGAGCTCGACTACGCCTTCTTTCGGTTGCAACCAATACCAGAAGACCAAATCCTTGTCTACAAAAAAGTAAGTTCAGTCACTGTTAACCGTGGCTTGCAATAAGTCCAGCAAATATTTCATAAATATTGGTACTGTATATTCTAATCGCAAATTTCCTTTTCTTTATCTTTTCCTTTGTTTCATTGACATATGTTCATTTCTATCCTTTTACGATTTCATGACTTGGCTTATGCTTTTTAATACCTTAGGTTTAAGTAATACTTTTCTAACTTGTTATCTTATTTACAAAATCCTGTTCATTTCACTTCACTAAATTATTATTATCATCGTTCCCTTGGGTTCCTAGTGGAAAATAAGGCATCAACTGCACGTCTCCACTTGCCACTTCTGTCTTCTGCTTTAGGTTCCACCTGCATTCATGTCAGTTCATACTGTTTCAACTCCTCTTCACACGATCTCCTCTGTGTCACCCTTGTACTGACGTCCCACTCGCCGCTCCTCTTTCGGCCTGGTCCCACTCGAGCAATGGCCTGACGCGCGATGTCACCCAGTGGCGGCCTCCTCAACGAGTGTCCAATCTATCTCCACTTTCTCCTGCATATTTGTTGGTTAGCAATTGGTTTGTTCTTGTTTTGTTTGTTTGTTCCCATAGTTTCTTGTTGGTGATTCCTTCCAACCCGGCCATCTGATCTTCAGTATATATCCAGCGAAGACAGTTGTTGATAAAGGTTTGCAATAGCCTGTTGGAAATATTCTTTTTGATCCGCCCACCAAGTTTCTGATCCATATAGAAGAACTGACTGACTTCACGTTTGTACTGAAAATTCGAACACACTAGCATTATTATTATTATTATTTGACAATCATTCCCCACTAGTACTTTTAAGTTTATTTCACGTCGTCGTTATCATTGCATAACTATTATTATTGTAGTCACCCGTGAACTTGTCTAGTTTACCCCTTGCCTTGGTTTATTTTCTGTAGTATTTATATTGTCTCACATAGCGTTAATAAGACTCACCCTCGAAACCTGTAATTTCGCCGACTATATAAACCAGTGAATTATTTCATCTCATTTTATATCATGTCCTCATCCACCATACATATTCAAAACTAACTGACTATTGTTCGATCGCATCTTGTACTTGTTCCACAATACACATTTCTGATATGATTCCAAATTGTCTCCACTGGCTAGTTATTGTGTGCTTAAATTAATGGACTTATAACTGTAGAGCATGAAGAAGAATTTATTGAAAACAACTGTTCCTTGTAACTTTTTGTTCTTAATAAATAATGAGAATATTCATTTAAATTCAAAATAGCTAATTTTCTCGCAAAAACGCAGTTCGTATTCTAAATAACTCTTTAAAAAAACGTACAACATTACTTTATTATCTGTACTAAATATCAAATAGGTAATTTTGCTGGACGCTATTCAAATCGTATAAGAATCATTACAAAAGTACGCATCTCCGATGGACAAATGGTAAACAACGGATCCAAACTTACATTTGAATTGACAGCAAAATATGGCAACACAACTAAGACTATTGAAATTCTTCAGGAAATCCGAAGACACGGAGAAGAAAAGCCAATTATTTTGGTAGATTTACAGAAAGTTATTGGATCTGATGAAAATAAAAAAATGTATGAAGTTTTCTATAGTTTGGTTTGTAAGGGTTAGTTATGTTTTTATGAGTTGATCACGGATTAATATCAGTTAGAGAACCATTGAAAACCAGGTAGTACTGGACAGCTGCTGTTTCATCCTAGTTTGGGAATCATCGGCAGTACGCACCAACTGGGATTCGAACTCAGGACCTCCCGGTTATAAGGGAAGCTTGTATATCATTCAGCCAATGGGGTCGCGCTAAATCACGAATTGGTAGAAGTTAGAATTCATGGGCTGGTTATTGAATCGGGTCCCAGTAACTGAATAGTATACGAACTTGCTTTGTAACCGGAAGGTCGTGGGTTTGAATCCCAGTGGGTGCGTACTTCCGATTATTCCCAAACTAGGATGAAACAGCAGCTGTCCAGTACTCCCTCGTTTTCAATGGTTCTCTAACTGATATCAATCCGTGATCAACTCGTATGAAGTTTTTTTTTTAAATATAAGTTGAAAAATAATTATTACTACGTTTTCTGTGTATTTAATCATTCATAAACCTAGTTTCTTTGACTAAGTTTCAGAAAGCCATAAAGTCTGGATTTACAGTCTTGATGATGAACTTGCGTGATCATGAATACAGTGAAACTAGGTCCAACGGAGCGGTCAAACTGGTAAATATTGATGAAGGAGGTGAAACAAGACATTTTGCCTTTACTTTTTAAACTGGATATTGATTACCCAGTGAACAAACAGTATAACTTAGCTGTGTTGAAAGCCTTTTTGAAGGCTTTTCTCAGATGTTGTGATGAAATCTCACTGTTAACATCTCCTGTGACTTGAAATATCAGGGCATTGATTTTTACGGAACTGTGGGCACGCTGGGTTGTTTACTCGCTGAATTCATGTGTTTATTCACAAATTTTGTCAGACATCCGTTTCCACTCAGTAGACAACGAATATTATCAAGTTATTTTATCGAGCGTTTCATTCGAACAAATAACTCTAGCCTAACGAACCAGACATGTTACTAAATTGCGTTCGTATTACAGAGGGAAGAAACTCAGAAAGTGAATATATATTGCCCAGTTGATGAACGTTTCCTATGTAGGCAACTACATATTGTTCCATATGGTCGTTTAGTTAATAGGATTCCCAAAAAACTGATTAATTCACTTTCTTTTCTATGGTAAAACCTCTAGCTAGATGACCTTTGTTGAACTCCTCCAATATGTATTATTCTTCCTTACTTTCTTCCTCAAGAAAGAGTGCCATTCTCTAGTTTCGCCAGGGAATAATCCACTAGGGTTGAACTGACTGGTAATACACTGGTAACACCACTTGGCTGTCTATACATCTCTCGTGAGTAGAAAATTGACGTTTATAGTACACCTTAAAGACCGTTCCATTACAGAAGACACAGAAATACCTGCCTTTATCATTTTATCACATGTGAACCCCAATCTCCCTTTTGAAGGTACGTTTTTGAATAAAGAAGATACATTTAATTCTATAATTCTTGCCACAAACTCATAACTGTCTTCTAAGCTAAGTTTCACGAGTTTCTGATACAAAATTTCAACCAGGCATTTCTCAGTTAAATGCTATGGTGAACTAGGCATACATAGAACTGATCTAAAGGGTAGGTCGCTTTTATCAATCTTAGAACAGAAATATAACCTAGGTGTCAGCGAAGCGACAGCTTTTAATATTTCATAAAACACTGGTGAAGTTTAAGTTATTTGGACGATAACGGACATCAAGTTGACGCTAATTTAGGTTTAAAAATATCTTTCATATTTCATCAAAAGATGTGATAAATTTAAGGCATCTAAAATACACAAACGACACAGCTATTTGTCAAAGTCGTTATCAGCTTTCACATTTGCATCATAACCCATGGAAATTGTATAACTATTCATATAAGTCGGTTCAAATTCAGGGAACTAAGGAATCTCAGCCATATGCAAGGAGATTCTTCGGCGTTTTTGCATAGCTTTGTAAGGCAGGAGCGTTTATTCTTCCTGGTGTTTCTATCTCGCCTCCACGAATCTGTCTAATTTGTATTATGTATAAAACGGTAATCTAAAATCGGGAAGGCGAGAAACACATTCATCAACCTGAAACCAATCGGGAAATCTTCGTCACTCACCATCAACAATAACAAAATTCGGATTTTCAAAACAAACGTTAAGTCAGTCAGTTCTTCTATATGGATCAGAAACTTGGTGGGCGGGTCACAAAGAATATTTCCAACAGGCTATTGCAAACCTTTATCAACAACTGTCTTCGCTGGATATATACTGAAGATCAGATGGCCGGGTTGGAAGGAATCACCAACAAGAAACTATGGGAACAAACAAACAAAACAAGAACAAACCAATTGCTAACCAACAAATATGCAGGAGAAAGTGGAGATAGATTGGACACTCGTTGAGGAGGCCGCCACTGGGTGACATCGCGCGTCAGGCCATTGCTCGAGTGGGACCAGGCCGAAAGAGGAGCGGCGAGTGGGACGTCAGTACAAGGGTGACACAGAGGAGATCGTGTGAAGAGGAGTTGAAACAGTATGAACTGACATGAATGCAGGTGGAACCTAAAGCAGAAGACAGAAGTGGCAAGTGGAGACGTGCAGTTGATGCCTTATTTTCCACTAGGAACCCAGGGGAATAATAATAATAAAACGGTAATAGGTTTGACTAAAAATTATGATGTTTACATTTGGAATTTTTGAAATACGTGTAACATTTTATCTTCAAGCATTTCAACACTGAAGTACGCCATTTTCATACTTTTCTGATTGTCATAATTTCAGGTGGTTTGCAAATGAAGTGGGATTGTGAAGTTTAATCTATCTCGCTGTATCGATGCGTATTGTCGCATATAATTATTATTAATATTATTATTCCGTCGGATTTCTGGTAGAACATAGGGATTCAGCGGCATATCTCCGTTTTTTCCTATTCTCTTTAATACTCTTCATCTCCTCACCACGACTGCCCATAACCACTCATCTCCTCATCACCACACTATCTCCTCCATGTCACAATCGAAGAACACACTTAAAGCTTACCATTGGGATTCCACCCGAGCGATAGGCTGGGTCGTGATGTCATTCGACAGCCTCCTCAGAGTAGACCTGACCAATCTTCATTTTCTCCTGTATTATTGTTGAATGGTAGACTCTTGGTTAATTTGTTTACAAGGTTTTTGTTTCTGATTCTTTCCGGATAGCCATTCGGTCTTCATTATGGAGCCAGAGAAGGCAAATGCTGATAAAAGTCTGCATCCCGTTATGAAAGTTTTTCGTGACACACCAAGTTTCTGACACTTAGAAAAAAAATTGACTTCAAACTAGTGGTGAAAATCTGAATCTCGCTCTTCAGACTGAATGCAGACAATTTTCAGAATGATTTATGGTTGATGAGGGCGTATCTTGCCTTTCCAACGCTTGCTGGCTTTGACATCATCCGTTCTGCCTGCCTGTGGTTGAAAGCGTGATTCCTAGCCAGGTAAGTGAAGAAGGTAACCCTTGTCAAATCTCTCCCGTTGATGGTGATTGGTGCTGGTTGTTGTTGTTGTTGTCGGTGTTAGTTATCTTCATCACCTCCATCTTCTCTACGTTAACCTGAGCATTTTCTACTGAAATTTTAATAATAGTAGTTTTCTCGATAAAACATATAATTCCTGTATACTTCACCAGTTATTTACGAATTCTGATTGGCCCCAGAGACGGCTGTCTCTTTAGCTTGACCGGCCTTAACGTAGTAGCAAGGCTTCCTCTAACTCCAATTCAGTAATAACTTACTTACTTTACTTTACTTCGGCTATCTCCTACGGGAGGATGAGCCGGCTTCATGAACGTCTCGAACCATCGCTGCCCAGGTGCGGCAATTTGTAAGAGAGTTCATGAAGTTTCATGGGAATTTGGTACGAGTAATGTCCCCAGCATCGCTCGGCCTTTTGTTTGAGAGTGCAGCTCTAGCCTTTACACAGCCAACTGTGACCTACAAGGCAGTAGGAGTGGAGTAAGGAGTCCACTATCCATTGGCAGCCGGTGACCGGAGTTCGGTTCATACACCTTTTTGCATGGGGCCAGACATCCAGGATATCCAACAAGTCCTTTGTCCATACGTCTGCCGGTGAGCTCCAGTGAGCTTCATACGCCAGTCGTTGGAGGTTTGGAATCAGGGTTTAGCCATCTCCCCTAGACCGTCATCCAATGGACAGTCAACCCGGTGAAGAGCGCCGGGCATCCGCTTTCGCCCTCTCACTTTGGTGAGAAACACCTCCGCCACGTGAAGGCAGTGAGTAGGACTTCCTCAGGAGAGGCTATGTAAGACGCTCGGTCATATGGGAGCATTTCAAGAGGTGTGCGGAGGGGTGGCCAACCCGCAGCGCAAGGCACCCACTCGCGACCATCCTGAGGCTTTGGAGGCAATTCAGTAATAAGTATGGAGTACAATTCTCACGTCTGCTGAAGAAGGCATTTAGGTAAAGCAGTACTGCGAATTTATAATAACAGGCCACTTCAAGCACTTGTCTCATCAAACAATCAATTGTCTGCGATGTGTCATCATCTTTCATATCCATCATTAGAGATGAAATATTTGAACCTTAGTTCGGCTGCCTAGTTTCTTTTAACCTCCTACACACTCTTTACCGACATCAAACGTTGATCAAACCTGACGGAACCATGAATGGAGGAATACCTCAAGTTTTAATTACTTTTCATTGAGAAATTTGAGAATTTCTCAGTTTTAGCTAGTTGCAATTTTTCATGTTGTTATTAAAACTTCGACAACCAATCTCACGCCTTTATTTACCATTTATTTTTATTTGCATTATCAGTTATTATCCCAATGATATACTCGACTTGAATATGCAAGTGAAAATGGAGCCAAATTCTTCTTCTGAATGTTTTAAACAAACACTGAATATCTATACTGGAGTCAATGTGAAGGCAGTAGATATCATTGATGTAAAGTCAAATGCACCAGTCAATTATTCCCGTGTAAACGACACAAAGGAATCCGGATTATTTCTATTTAAAGTAATTTTAATAGATTTTTTAGCTGCTTTTGATTGAACTCTAGTTAGTTACTAGTGTGAGGTGTCTAGTCCTCTTTTTGTGGCAAGCTGTCAGTCTCCTTCGCAATGTGGCCACCATTCTATTTGACTCAACATGATGGTGCACTTTTGCATTGCTGGTATTATATGGTTAGAGGTAGTCGGCCACTGACCTAGGTTTTGTGCTAGTCGACACTCACCAGTTAGTCAGCAGGGCGTACCTGTAACCATGAAGGAACTCATGTATCTTCTACGATTCAAATCCGCATCACTCAGTGCTGCAATCAGAGACGTTAGCACTCATTTATTCGGGCTCGCGATTGACATCCTGTAGGACTGTATTGGATACTTTTGATTGAACACTAGTCAATAAATAGTGTGATGTGTCTAGTCCTCGAGTTAATTTCACTAATACTTTTTCATTTGTTAATGTTTACAATTAGTGAATAAATTTTATTCAGCTTATGAGGGTAAAAATTCTCAATAATATTACTGAGCCACCAACTGTTTCTTTGAATTCAATTTTGATTTACCCACTGATTGATTGGACTGATATGTTCGACCTCTGATGACATGGTAACCCCTGGTATGAACTCTTCAATGACATCTGAAGATGGTGACTATTACTGAAATTCAGATTGCAGATTTTGTTCCATTTCGGACTCGTCGGCAGGAAGAACCTGTAATCTTCAGTGAGTGATGGAACTCCCACTGAGACTGGATCACCCTACTATTCGTTTCAAATACCAGAGCCTTATCCACTAGATCACTTGAATCAAGAGTCTCGGTGGGAACATTACCAGTCATTGAGGAATAGAGTTGCATATGGATGATGAGTCTCGAATAGGACGACATATGCCTCCTGGATTCTACTACTAGTCAGCACCAACCAGACAATTACTGAAGTAAATTATCATGCATATTTACAAAACTGTATAAACTTCTGAGTGAAGTGAAGATTTCACTTCCATCCAATTTTCAGAACCAAGATTAATCAAGCAACAACTGTATTATCTAATTGGCACTAAAATATCTTCCATTTAATGCGCCATCTTATGCACAGTAAATCGATTTAGAGAGTTTAAAACAATCAGCAACAACCAGTAGAGATTTCCAGCTAAGTAGATGAGATTTTGACTCTACTTAACAGTTGTTTCACTCATTCGGAGATACCTGTTTCAGATAATCATGCTGACTAGAGAAATGTCATAGTTAACATGCTTACCAGTCACATTTAAACTCTGAGTCCAATTTCTACCCGATATGATTTCTAAAGTTACCCGTTTAGCTAATTCGTAATACGTCGACAAAAGACGGAACAAAAGAAGCTATCATCAATGAAACATCAAAACTTTAAGTCTTAACTTCCACTAGGAAAGCAATGAATATAGAAGTAGTATGTCACGCGGTTTTCCCTGCCACTGCTAATCGCTCTATCGTGGATTGTGGTGGACTTTAAGAAGTCTTCTCACAGGATTTTTCTAGTTTCTACTAACAAACGAATCGACTGAATAATCCAGTGAACTTGAAACTGATACAGACAAATAAATGAAAAATTGGCCGTTTTGCGAGTAAGTGGAAGGAACCAGGAGGATGGTGGTTGATTTTTAATTTTCTTTTAGCAATTTATTCGTGATGTCTATAAGAGAATTTTATACTTCTATGAGACAGAAGCCAAACCGTACTCAGAAAATTTGCACCTACTTAGTATAAATTTCCCGTTTTATTTGGTAGTGATGTTATTCGATGGTTTCCTAAGTGTGTGTCTGCCCAATCTCCATTTCCTTCGGAATATTTGTTAAGCAATGTCTTTTTGGTAGGTCTGTTCACAGAGTAACTTGTTAGGAAATTCTTCCTGAGCATTTGATCTTTAGTGTGGAGCCAAGGCATCTGTTCATTAAAGTCTACAACCTGTTATCAATGCCTTTCAAGAAGCACTCCTCAAATTTCTGACCAATACAAAAGAATTGACTGAAATAACAATGGTGTTTTAATATCCGAATTTTTTCCTTTGTGCCAAGTGCAGCCAAAGATTTCCACACTGATTCTAGAGTTATGAACATCTGCCTTGACTTTTCAGTTCTGTTTTCGACATCGTCATCCGTGCTACCACTCGTAGCTGAAACGATGTTGCATGGACAAGTGAAAGAAGTAACCTCATTCAAATTTCTTCGGTTGATAGTGACTGGGGCTTGGTTCATTTGGTTGATTGGTTCACCGTCATCACCTTCATCTTCTCTATGTTAACTTGAATTCCTCTCTTCTCCACCTGCCACTTCTATCGACTTGTTAACCTTCATCTGAATAGCTTTCAGGCTTATGTGTCATAAGACAATTCTTTCGCAAATAAAGAAGGCGGCTGCTCCAGAAATAGTGAAGGAAGTAGAAAATCAGAGGGTGATTAGTCTTTCAAGAAGCGGCAGACTGTTGTATGAAGTCATTTTTAAAACACTTGTAAGTTATTCTAAACTATAAGCAGATGTCAGGATTATTTCAGTTATGCTGTCTTAAATATTTTTGCTTACCTTTAACCAAATTTTAGGGAGCACCACTTCGATTCGGAGACGAAGTTTCATTTAAGCTCCGTGTTCACTTCAAGGAGAACATGTTTCTTCCACCGAAAATGACCATAGCGAATTATACTCTAGTTACAGAAGTTGTTTGTGTTACCATTAAACGATCAAATGAAGTTAATCCACATATCAGAAAGTTTTTAAACAAAATATCTGTTACCTTAGCTGATAGGAATTCTACGAGTAAGTTTACATTTGTGTTCAATATAATACTCCTTTGTATAATACACATAATGTTTTATCCAATTCTCATGAACTTTGGAAATTTTAATAGATTTTTTACAATATAATGATTTCAAGTTTGACCACTGATTGATAACAGCAAGAGAACCATTAAATGGTGGTAAGGGTCTCTGAACAGCTATTTCGTCCTTTTCTAAGACTCTGTAGCAGTACGAACCCGCTAGTGTTCTGATTTCGCACCTAATTCTAACTACTACTAATTCCAGATTTTAGGATAATCACCAGCCACTGTCGTCGCTGGCGATCATCTGTTCTCACTTCCTACTTGGTGGAACCAACTGATCATGACTTCTTCTTTCTGGAATGATCTATAGGCTTTTCTAGTAACCGGAAGGTGCTGGGTTGGACGCGGATCGTTTTGATTCTTCAACTGATACCAATCCGTGTTCAAGTTTAAAAAAAATAAATTCCTACTAGCTCTCGAAAATGTGAAGATCTGTCGGAAGAGCGCTACGTAACCATTCAACAGTTGACGAGATGAACCTAACTGTGATAGTTACTACGTTAATGAAAGCCTCGTTCACCTCTAACTTTTCGGTTTGTAAAGGACTTCTCGCTCAGTCGTCGTCGTAACTTACAGCAAATAATGGTAGGCTTTATGCTGCCAACCTTTCTTCTCCTATTCCTAGGTTTTTTCTCAAGCCTTCAATAAAACTATCGATAAACTTCGAGGTGTTATCAAAGTAAACTGATGATAATCATGTGGCCATATAACTGCCACCTGCCATGAATTCCAGTATATTTCTATTGAGTGGAACGGCTCTCAGCGGACACTTGAAAACTAATAGAAGAGAGGAGAATGGTGAAAGAGAAAATGATTCAATGCAAGGACGGACAGGAGAAGGAGACGCTGAGCTCAACTTACAAAGCATTGGACAAAGAAGTGAAGAAGAGGGCCAGGAAGGACAAAAGACGGTTCTACGACAACCTCGCCACTGAAGCTGAGAAGGCAGCAGGCAAAAGAGACCTGAGGACATTATATCAGATAAACAAATCTCTATCCGGGAAGAGATCAACACAAGCGAATCCTATAAAAGACAGCCAAGGGAACCAAACCACCTAGGAAGAAAAACAGACTAAACAATGGGCGGATCACTTCAAAGGACTCTTGAACCGGCCACCACCTGCAACCCGTCCAGAAATACCAACAACAGCACGTACATAACTGCAAGTTGACACCAATCTTCCAACGAGAGCTGAAGTCTTGAATGAAGTCAAGCTTCTGAAAGCTGGAAAAGCAGCTGGACCAGATGGAATACCCCCCGAAGCACTGAAAGCGGATCCAGAGGCGACAGCAGACATGCTAACTCCATAATTGCAAAAGGTCTGGAGGGAGGGAAAGGTGACTACTGACTGAAGGAAAAGTTTCCTCGTGAAACTATCAAAGAAGGGCAACTTACGCCTCACTGTTCAAGAACTGGAGAGGAATCATGCCTTTGTCGACGCCAAGTAAAATCCTGAGTCGCATGATCCTGAATAGATTAAAGGACGCACTGGAGACAGAACTCCGTCCCACCAGAACAAGCTGGATTCAGGAAAGGCAAATCATGTACTGACCAAATTGCAACTCTTTGCATCATCATCACAGAACAAAGCATGGAATGGCAATCAAACGTCTACCTCAACTTTGTAGACTTTGAAAAGGCCTTCGACAGCGTTGATCGTGAAGTAATTTGGAAACTACTCGAGTACTAGGGCGTACCCGAAATATTCATCAAGATCATTCAACAGCTGTACGGCAACGGCACATGTCAAGTGATCCACAACGGAAAACTCAGCAAGGCGTTTGGAGTAGATACAGTAGTCAGACAAGGGTGCTTATTATCACCAATGATATTCCTAATTGTGGTGGACTGGATTATGCGTCAGACAGTGAGCGGGAAACGAGAGCACAGGAATATCTTGGACCGATGCGAAGAACCTAGAAGACCTGGATTTCGCGCGTGGATGATTTATGTTTGATGTCACAGAAAATCGAAGACTCACGAGCGAAAACTGACAAACTGGTCGAAGAAGCAGCGGGCGAAGACAGGACTCCATGTGAACATAGACAAGACGGGGATTATGAAAATAACCAACCAACCAACAGCAGCAGCAACATCCAGCGTCAATCACAATCAACGTGAGGGATTTGAAAGAAGTCACTTCATTCACTTATCTAGCTTTAAGCATTGTCTTAACTACACACAGTCGGATCGGACGAGGATGTCAGATCGAGCGAGAATCGGGAAGGTAAGAAATATATTCATCAACCTGAAACAACCAATCTGGAAATCTTCGTCACTCACCATCAACAATAACAAAATTCGGATTTTCAAAACAAACGTTAAGTCAGTCAGTTCTTCTATATGGATCAGAAACTTGGTGGGCGGGTCACAAAGAATATTTCCAACAGGCTATTGCAAACCTTTATCAACAACTGTCTTCGCTGGATATATACTGAAGATCAGATGGCCGGGTTGGAAGGAATCACCAACAAGAAACTATGGGGACAAACAAACAAAACAAGAACAAACCAATTGCTAACCAACAAATATTCAGGAGAAAGTGGAGATAGATTTGACACTCGTCGAGGAGACCGCTGGGTGACATCGTGCGTCAAGCAATCGATCAAAAGGAAACAAGCCGAAAGGGCAGCGGCGAGTGGGACGTCAGTGCAAGGGTGACATGGAGGAGATTGTGTGAAGAGGAGTTGAAACAGCATGGACTGAGATGGATGCAGGTGGAACCTAAAGCAGAAGACAGAAGTGGTAACTGGAGACGTGCAGTTGGAGCCCTATGTTCCACTAGGAACCCAAGGGAGTAATAATAATGATCTATTGAGTGCAATATATTGTAATAAACGAAACCGACATGTTATGGTCTGAAAACTGACAGTTAATTTTTGCGTTCTACTGCACAGTCATTCCAAACTTCTTTGAGTTACGCGGAGTAAAAATGTGTACCGACGATAGTAAAAAGGTAGTTATAAAAATAAAGCTTGTGCAGTGTGGTTGAGTATAATTTCACTATAGGTAAAATTTGTTTTGATAATGTCTCACAGTGTTATTCAGCAATGATTACTGATGACTTTTCAAGCACATTTTATTGCTCATATCATATCACCTTGATATGATTATTAGCAATAAATTGTGCTTTACAATAAAATTAGTTAGCCAAACACCAACCGTTAGAAGTCCTTGAGAATGAAGAAGAATATTTGCAATGAAGTGGGGTCAAAACTGTGTTAGCAAGAACCACACACCAAACAATTTTCACAAGCAGTCCAAGGTCAATATCACACAACTAAAAGCATAAAGCGTTTAAATGAGAGATCAACAAGGAATAAGGACAAATAATAGTGACTGAGTCTACAGATGATATGTTAACGTCGGAAAAATGATAGACAGTCTAGCAGAGAGGAAGATAATCATTACATTGTTGGTTAGAATACCCAAAAAAGTAGCAAAATATTGAGTAGACTGTTAAAAGATGAAATTTCCAAACAATAAACCTACTGCGTAAATGCGTCAAATACACCTTTGGGGGGAAATCAATATACAAGACACTCTGGACCCTAGTTTCGTGCTTTCCAACAGTCAAGACCATTGTGTATGGAACTTTGTAGAAGATGGCGTCTTAATTAGATCCCTGGTCCATTTATTATTTCAAGGAACCAAAGAAAAAAAATCAATGATACAATAAAGTGTGTATGATATTCGCGGCTATTCCTGTAAATAACCAACGGTTATACACAGTTTGCATCCTAAGAGTAAATATTCTTAAACTTCCTTAAATTAATATGTTTATCACATAAATCAAACAGAGAAACACTTTTATATACTGGATGACGTTTCGAACACAATTTATTCTTCATAATCATACCATCAACCACATAACTTAAAAACTTCCGTTTTATAATTTTCTGTATTCCTTCCTATTCATCGTAAGGGTGGTATAATTCTCCAAATGTCAGCGTGGGCAGGTGTTAAATCACTTCTATCACGAGTATTTTCGGTTGGTTACGTAAATAAGGATTCCGTTATCAATATCTCTCTCCACTTTACTATATTGGATCTTAGAACTGACATCTTATACTATCCTATTGTACGGATGTGTGTAATTGCATGTAGCGAGCACTTTAGCTGAACTACTCCCCAGAGTTCTTATTATAGTGTCAGGTCAACTAATGCAGATTTTGAAAAGTATTTATGCTGCGTTAGTCTGACTTACTGACCCTATTCTACTACTTTGACCCATGTATTTGACTTGACAATCATTGCAGGGTATTAGGTAAACTAAATTGTTTTGTTTAGTGGACTTCACAGGACACTTAAACGGGCAAAGTCTGTCTGAGAGTTTGTGTGTTTGAATGTCATTTTTGTCCCAGAATTGTTAATAAGGTTTTATTCAAACTGAACAGGTTGTAATAATTAGATTAGGCTATAGTAATGCTAAAAATAAGTGTTTTGGGTGAGTATATGTGCTCACACTTGATTCCATAAATAAGAAACCAAAATCGATCCCTTGTAGCCACCCTATAATATACTTTCCTCCAAAGATAACACCGCTAATGTTCTCCGTAGGATTACTGACGTATCGATGTTGAGTGTGCTGAACCAAAAGTAAGGTAAAACTGTTGATGCTAACTCCATATGGAATCAAGGACTGACCCTAAGACAAATGGTTTAAAACCGTGCATTTCAAATTATTAAACAGGTGTAAGTAAACTTTTGAATAGACCTCCTACTGCAATGACGGGTGATTTCGTCCTTCGATGGAGGAATTGAAGTAACAGTACAACTGTAATTCACCTCTTGGCTTTAATAGTTTTTTTTAATGTGAAAGTTTACACAAACTGTCTCCAAAAAATAGAACAAATGTACAGCAAAACCATATTTTTGTCATCTTTGAACCTCCTGTTTTTCCTTAGTAATCATAATTTGTCAGGACCTTTTAGAGACCGGGCTCATCACTGAAAGCATTTCCTACAGGCCGCTGTGAACTTTATCAACAGCTTCCTTGGCTTAATCCTAAAGATTAAGTGTGCGGGAAGGATAATCTTCGGGAGAATTTTGGAACGAATCAACCAAGAAACTCTCTCCTAACAAATGTCCCGAAGAAAGTGGAAACAGATCAGGCAAACGGTGAGGGGACCGTCAAATGACATCACGTTCCAGGCCATAAAGTACAAAATGAGGTGATAATGCTAAGTTAGGTTTTCGAAGTAACACGTACGCACTCACGTGAGTAGGAGATAAGGGCTTATGGGAAATCATGGACCCTATTAAAAACGATTGTAGAGAATAGGAGGAAATATAGATGTTCTGATGAAGACCTGTGTTCAACTTGGAATGCGAATAATGTGATATTTGACTTCAGTAATAGAAATTATAAAAATGCATCTACAGAAAGCCCACTCGACAGGGCAATACCCTAATTTTCACAGCTTCTGTCTATTACAGTATAAAAGAGGCTTGGTGAAGTGTCTATTTAAGAGGATTCAACCTATTTGCACGGTTGATTTTATAGACAAATAAAACGAAATACTGATGGACGCTCTTGTTGAAAACGGATATTCTTTAAAATCTTTGAACAGGTGTAGAAGTCAACTAGTCTCAAAACCCACAATCCATACCACCCCTAAGAAAAAGGTTTTCATCAAATTACCATCTAATGGGGAAATAAACAGTAGGATTTTAAGACAAAGGTTGAATTCAATCATCCGTAGGACCTACTATGCAGCCCAGCTTGTATTTATGGAAAAAGCTAAAAATATGCTGCACTGCAAACCTCAAAAGTGAACAAGTGATTATGTCACATACCACACTATTTACCAATTTTCGTGTGTGTGTGTGTGTGGACACACATACATAGGGAGGGTTAATCGCGCTTTGTATGTGAGGATAGGAGAGCATATTCCAAAATGGTTAGAAAAACAAATGAATTGTCTAAAACCAATAGATGCAGGTGTCAGACTACCAACTTCGTCTATAGGTAAACATCTAATCGAGATGAGCCATAAGATTGATATTAACTCAGCCTTTAAGGTCATCTATAAAAACGGTCAAGGGCGTATACTGAAATATGCTGAGGCTTTAGCTATTCATAAACTGAAGCCTCCCCTCCTGTGTATTCAAAAACAGTTTGTTATTACTCTTAACCTACCTACCTTGCTAATCTTTATTTGATTGTATATGTCCAAACCAAGTTCACTTTTAACGGTTTGAAAAAATTTGGGCATTGCGTATTTCATATTCATTATAATAAAGGTTTTTGTGTATTTTCCAATGAATGAAAAACAAAACCATATTGTTTTTACAAAAGAAACCTGTATTATAATGAATACCTTATTTGATTGGATTACCAAACGTTGTGTTAATTATTCTTAATTCTTTTTTTGTCACTTTGTTTAATTTAACTTTTCCATATATATTGACTTGACAGGTAAATGTGTGAGGGATCAGATTGTTCGAAATGTATAGCGCAAATACATCACGTCACATTTTTCAGATAATCCCTGTCTTCTAATAACGCTATCAAAATTTATAAGAGGGACTAAATTTTTTAAAAATGCATAAATTAGGGCATTACGATTAAAATAATTTCAAACTATCTAGGAGCTATCTATACTCCCACAGCAGTATTACATCTAGAAGAAATCATACTAAAACAGGAATGAACAACTTCTAAATATATGGAAAGTTTCCAAGAGTTAGTTTGTAGAGTTATAATTTGTTTGAAGTTAGAAACTGGTTAGAATAACCTACAGTTCTAGTGATAAGTCGGCATCAGTCGGGCTTACTATATCGAGCGCGTGGACAAATATTCGTCTATAACACTGACGTGAAACAACCTTAAAATCACAAACTGGAATTCATGGATGACTGGTCCCGGTCAAAATGGCTGGATGGTCTTCAAGCTTGACTTTTAACTAGAGTTTCCTGTATTAGAAACCCGGTTGGTGTCTACTGTTGAAGAATTTCAAACAAGGATGAAACGGCTGTCCAGTACTTCACGGTCTCCTAATGTCTCTGTAAACTATTACAGCTTGTACTGTGGTGTTCAACAGGGAAACATTTTCACACATGATGCACAAGACTAATTCGTGAAAAATTCTCATTAGGAAATACAGAAAGCCAAAACAATCGATTTAGCGTAGAGAGTCTTTTCTATGGACAAGCTGAACAATCGTACATATATGGTTTTCCTAAAAAATTATACCTTTGGAGGGGATTGAAACAAAGGTTTGAAGACATGAAATAATAACTGCACAAAATGCAATTCAGATATCTGGGATATAATTTCTTAAAAAAGACTAATATGTAAACGATTGTACAGCTTGACGACGAATTCGTTGAAAAAAAGTCTCTTCTCTGAATCACTTGTTTTGATTTTCTATTCAGAGAATCAAGACCATGGAATATTATCATTTGTTTGTATCTTTTTATTGCCACACCACATTAAAATCTTTCACGGTATTATCTACAGATATTACGAAGCCTAGTTGCACTACAATCGTAGAGCTGAAAGAAAATCAAGATTTCTATCAATGCAAGAAAAATCAATTGTCGTCATCATCATCATCCGACCCAGAGGACAAATTAGGTGTGACAATGTCAGTTGTGAGCGGAACACGTCCTTCTCAAGTGTTTAAAACTATCTTATTTACTAAGCTAACCTATATTGACCGGATATTTTTAGCTTCTTTGAACTTAAGTAATAAAATCAAAAAGCTGAATATTTGTACAACTGATGATGGAAAATCATTTCAAAACATCTTGACGGTATGTTGAATTTTTCACTTTTACTGAATATGTATAAATATTCCTGCATTATCGGTTATCGCATCCTTGTAAGCGAGAAACAGGGAATTATCTCGTTGACTTAGAATATTCATCTGATAGGGTTGAGCCCCCTAGGTGGAAACACTGACAAAGTAGAGCAGAGTCTTCTGGACACTTTGAGCAGCACCAATCTTCGAATGTTTGGCATGCGTTTCGCTCCTACTGTCAAATGTAAGATGATGCTACAGGACTGGACCACACTGACTCCTAGCTAAGAAATAAGGAGTGAAGTGATTGGTTCACCACTTCACTTATTTAGGAAGTTGCATCAGCCCCAACGGGTTCATTGCTGACGAAATCTCAGCAAGGATAAAGAAGGCTAGTTTCTCAAATGAGAGTTAACGTCGTCTCTGGCGTAGACGTGATATCCTGCTGAGTATCGACCAAAGGGCCTGTGTACTGCCAAGCAGTCCGCTCCGTCCTCCTTTATGGCTGTTAGACCTGGCCATTGAGAGTGCAGAACATGAAAAGATCACCTGTCTTTGACTAATGACAATTAACACTGATTGTCAGTACAAACCTCCGAAATGAAGACATGAGTAAGACAATTAAGACTGCCATTACACATTATATTCCTAATTGTTATAAGCTGAACTATGCATGACACGGTCAATGTGGAGAGCGAAGATAAGAATACGTTGGAGTGATAATAGGACTCTTGAAGATGTGGACTTCTTAGAGGATTTATGTCCAGTATCACATAAATTCGTAAATTTGTTGGCGAAAACCAACAATCTGACAGAAGAAGAATAACTTCCAGTCGACGGAGGTGATGAGGACAACCGACCAACCAACAACAAGCACCAGTCGCTAATAACAGAAGGAATCTGAAAGAAGTGACTGCCCCCACTTATACAGTCAGCATCACTTCAACTGCAGGTGGTACGGATGAATAGGTCAAAGCCATGCAGCACTGAGAAGGTAAGGTACATATTCATCTCTCTGAAATCAATTTGGAAATATTCCGAACTCAGAATAAGGAACAGGGAGGGTTATGGTTTTCAACACCAATATTAAATAACTTGTCATGTGTGGGTCAGAAACGTCACTTTTGTGTCACATAAAGCACTTGGAAGAGGCTACTGTAGACCTAAATCAACAGTTGCCTTCACCAGCTCCAAACTCTGGATCACATGATCAACCAGAAAGATTTAGCAACGATAAACTCTGTTAAATAACCAATTAATACAGAAATAGGTTGAAGAAAATGGCGATGCATCGGACGCACGCTGGGGAGACCACTGGGTGACATCGCACGATTCAGCCATTGCCTCAAGTGGACCCAAACAGGAAACCTCGGGTTAGGCGAGGATGCGAGAGTGAATTGGAGGACATCATGTGAGGAAGAGATGAAAATTTACGGCAGTTATGGAGACAGTTGATAAGACTGTGTAGAACAGGGAGAGATAGAGATTTCGTATTGAACAATATGTTCCCCTCAGAACCTAGGGAATAATGCTAATACTGACCATTTAGAATGATTTTGAGTATAAATTCTTAAAATGAAAAAGTTGTAAATTTGCTGAGATGATTCATTACTAATGAGAAATATTGTCTGTGATAATCACCATTACTTAGCGTTGTCCGGAATGCGATAAGTGGATAAGAACGAATTTGTTAATGTGATGATGGCTAGTCGGAACTTATAAAAGAGAACGTTTGTCAATGATCGATGTTTTGCATGCAAGTAACAGCTTTAATTTCAATTGTCCCCTTAAGAATTGGGTACCTTGTTTGTAAATCATGATTATATCAATATCCGAAAACAGAAAGAAGACAGATCACTTTTCGGAAATCCATCTACACCTAAACAGTTACTCAGGGGTTCACGTATGTAAAAGTGATTGACAATACAGGTCAGAGGTCATTGTAATTTAGTGAAATAAGGAATCGCAGTGAATATGGAATAACAGTGTGTGGAAAATATGGAATAATCTCATGCAATCGAGGTGGTTGACAACTAATTAGTCAAGTGGTGAATAACCGTTTGGTAAACAATTAGTAGGAAACAACGGAGAAAAAGGTTGAAAATCGATTACAATCAGATGAAATGACTTCACAAATTTTACTCTACTGCAATTCGATAAAACTAAATTTACACTAAAGCCACTGTGGTGAAGCAGGTGGCATAAACCACTTCCTAAGAAAGTGTTAAATTCTGGAATGAACATCTAACAAACTATCGCAGTTTTGTCTCAATAAACAGAAACAGAAATTTCATCACCTCTCATGTGTTACAAAATCTACCGTATGTGTACTAAAGATATATCGAGTAAGAAATCCTCCTTTGATAATAATAATGATAATGATAATAATAGCTTTATTCCAAAACAGTACTTGCAATAGAGAATGGAATTCTCTGCATTTTACTACAGTATTGTATCCAGTTAGTAAATTAACAATAAAATCAAATTCTACATAGATTAGGGGAACCTTCAATGACAAACACCTAAAGAGAAAATCCGGTACTCCATGAAACCTGGATTCACAGGAGAAACGACTACATGTAGGTCTGCAATTCAAGAGAGATTCAATCAATGAATCCACTCGAAGTTGACTGTCGAGAACAATTCAAGGAATGTTCTTCGCTGCACCTCTGCGCCTCACCTTATTTACACCTATGCGCTTATTGTCGATTCTCTTAATTGCTTTAGAGTATTCACTATTCTCCACACACTTTTAATTCTCACACACTGAGATTTGTTTTGTTACTAAATGACCGTAACCTCTCACCTTTATTGTCGATCGACACTGTATAAGTTGACCCACAAATAACTCTACAGCTATCAAGTGAAGTGAAATCTCTTCAATATATAAGTGACGTTATGAAAAGAGCTAATTTTTCTGACTTGTTTGCTAGTAACTACATCACAAGAGAATTTTTCATACTTTATCGATGTGTTTTTCGTATTAAATTTATAACTGAGGTTATTCGGAAATCCTTCGAGACGGATTCCTACGACGAACAATCATCAGTTATCGCTAAACATTTATCTGTGATTAGCAATTTCTTGTTTTCAAGAATTAGTTTGTTAGTCATTGGTTTATTCCAGGTTTGTTCACTAATTGATATTAGTTGAGGAATCACTGAAAACCATGGAGTGTTGAACGTCAGCTTCCTCCTATTTTCGGACTCCTCAGTAGCGCTCACCCACCAAGTTTTCAGAACCAGGACCTTCAAGCTACAAGGCAAGCTCGAAAACCCACCAAACACTGGAATGTAATCCATGTACTACTGAATACCAATTTCCACCAAGGTGTGATTTTAGCGTAACCACCAGCTAACGTCATCGACGATTATTTGATAAACTCCTCTAGTAACGAATTCTCAATTGAACATCAGGCATCTGAGTTGTGCAAACAATAGCTGCCGAGCATTATTATCATCAGAATGAATTCTCCTTTGCGTTCCTAGGGGAACATAGAGTTTCGAATTTCAGCTTTATGGCTTCAGCGTCAGTGGTGTTCATTTCTCACGATTGGGTCGCTAGCACCACCCAGAACTCTCCTACTTCGAGGGGTTTACTGCCAGATAAGTGAGGTTTGAGAGTGCGTGAGCTGTTAATTGAACCAAAGCCACATGAATGGTTGGTCAGTATTCTATTCTTATGTATAAGGCCATGAGTATCATCACCACTTTGGAGTAATAAAGACACTGATCGTCAGTTTTTTTAACATTTGAAATGGAATCCAATGGAATCAAACAGTAACATTAGAATTCCTCCTTTGTCACTTTCATTGAATCCAAATATTTAAGATTAGTGTGAAGTTATATTTCTGTATTCGAGTGTACGTCACATTAGACACTTTATTTATTTCTCATCTGACTTCTAAATGCTTACCAGATCTAGAAACCAGATCATAGTTCTTAACATCTGAAACACTGTTAAACCGCTGGAATTTGGAGTACGAAACTTCTATTGGCACGAAGTGTTTAAAACAAGTGTTAATTCAATTCGGTTCTACGGTAATGATAAAAATAAATGAATATTTTGGTTCTAAAGTTTTTTGTTCAGTGAGACACTTCAAGGTAACCCTAATATCAAAATATAAGAACCGCTGTAGAAGTACTTCAAGAAGTTGAAAAGAATTTTGTCAAACAGAACAGACGATAGAGCTGAACATGCGGCATGCTCATTCACATAATATTTAAAAAGCCTCTTATATTTCCTTTACATGCTTACTAACACTTTCCAAATATATATTACATTTTCAGGTGAATGGTAACAATACCGATATCAGAATAGAAGACGCCAAGTTTGGACCTCTAATTAGCACAAGAGGTTTACGTTTCATTGTAACTGAATTTGAAGACACATCAAAAGACTTTGATTTTACGGCTACAGTTTATGGTTGCACTGCTCCATGGGATCCGTTTATCTTTGGTAAGTTAATTCTGTTATTTCTGCAATGATAATGGGGTTAAAATATCAGAATCAGAGAATGAAATTTAAGCAAAAACCGCAATCCTAGAATTAGTAACTTAAAGCATGCGACTATTAGGCTGACGATTAACTCGACTTGTTATAACATACCGTAATAATTCAACCAAACTTAAGGAGAACTTACGGTTTCTTCAAGACAAGTGAAACCAAGTAACAGGCTTAATTTATAGATTCCTTAGAAGTGAGTCTGAAACTGAACACCCAGAGCGATAAAGCTATAAACCTATAACTGATAAGAATATCGCGTCCAGACAGCTTACTTATCATGGAAAATCAGTCGCTTTGTCATATTAACACGTAAGTAAACCATAAAAATGAGCGATGTAGGTTATCTATTTAAACTAGACGTAAAATCACACAAAACATTTATATCCTTCAGTCTGGAAAAAGGTGAATTCAGGAAAAGCAGACCATGTGCAGATCAAATTCGCACGGTTGGCATTGTCATCAAACGAAGTGTAGAATGCTAGTCAAAGGTCTACTTCATCCCCATTGATCTTGAGGAAGTCTTCCACAGAGTTGAAAGTGAAGCAATATGGAAACTGCTACAACCTTGTAGGGGAGCGCAAAACTTTACCAACATCATTCTACAGCTGCCAGATAATGTCATATGACAAGTGATCAATGGCGGAAAACTTATCAGTCTTAAAATTGAAGATGGAAGCAAAATAAGGCTGACTACTAATTGTGGTGGATTGGATTATGCACCACACTGTGCTTGAGGAGAGACAAGATAGAAATAAATCGGAGACAAGAAGACTCTAGAAAATTTGGAGTTTGTGAACGGTTTATGTCTAATATCACGTAAACTTGAGGATTTACAGGCGAAACAAGTAAGCAGGGAGTGAGGATAGATATTTAAGTGAACATAAAGGATAAAGGGACAATGAAAATATCCGTCTACCAACATAAGCAACAACAAGCATTAAGCACTACAAGCCGGAGAAATCTAAAAATAAATATCACCCCTCACTTATCCGTTAGCATGGATACAGATTTTCAAGCATTGGTTTATAAGGAATTGACTGATTGGTTGAAGGATTTCATCATGAGCTGATATCGGTTAGAGAACTAACTGGGAGTACTGGACAGTTGTTTTGTCAGCCTAGTTTGGGACTCTTCACCAGTTCTCTGGTCTACGAGCTCTCCTTGTAATCAGAAGGTTCTGGGTTCGAACCCCGCTGGTTGCGCATTGATGAAGAGTCCCAAACTTGGCTTGTGAAACAGCTATCCAGTACTTCCAGGTTTTCCAATGGTTCCCTAATCGATGGACGTGAAAGTTGAAATTAGAATCGGAGAGGCAAGGCAGACCTTCGTAAACCTGAAACCCCTGTGGAAAACTGCTTCACACAGCACAAAGAAGATGATTCAGATTTTCAGCACTAATGTCAAGTCATTTCTTCGATATGGTTCGGAGACTTGGAGGGTCATCTAAACCACTTGAAACAGGTTGCTGTAGTAGTTCATCAAAAGCCAAATTTACTGGCTCCATACTGATGATCAGATGGTCAGAAGGAATGAACTGGTTTAGAAATTCATAACAGGCATTCAAACTTTGAGGAAGCAATCTTCAGTGCCGCTGAATTTGTTACAAATAAAACAGAATTGAATTAGATGAAATTGAACCTTCCTAATTCGTTTTTACGTTTTGTAAGTTAATCCTGATTAGCAAGACTAAACGTTTAGGGAATAATAGTTCGAATTAGCAAGAGGAATTGTCCGTTTGAAAAGATAAAACGGTATCCTATAATATACTAATTCACTATCGAATATCTCCTTATCACGGGCTAGAAACATTTTGAAGAAAACACTTGGCGTTCTTGAAAAACCTTAGGTCAGAAAACATGTAAGCCCCTAAAAAATGCGGAGTCATTAAAAGCAAAAATAATAAAAGATTTGGCAAAATAAGATGGCACCATCACTTATTACACCAGTTCCTCATAAACTACATGCAATTTTAAAAATTTAAATATGTATTTGAATGCATAGAGTATATCGTTTGCCGTCATCGATAATATTCCTAATTAAGTCGGACTGGATTATGAGGAACACGATGAGAATAGGTTGAACCGATAAGAAGATGTTAGAAGATCTGAGGTTTGCTGACGTTTTATGTCTGTCGTCACGCAAACTCTAAGATCCATAGATGGGAACTAACAGGCTGCTAGAAAAAGTAGCGAAGAGAAGAAGGGAGTTGATGAAGACAACCAACCAACCAACAACGTGAAAAATTTGAAATAGGTCACTTCCTTCAATTATCTAGGCAGCATCTCTTCAACTACAGATGACAGAAGGGATAAGAATAGCAAAACCAGAGTCGAAAAAGCAAGGCAGACACTTGTCACTGTGAAATCAGTGTGAAAATCTGCTTCACTCAGCATGAGGAACAAGATTCGGATGTTCAACAGCCAAAATGAATCAGTCAGTTCTTTTATATAGGTCAGAAACTTAGGGAATACATCCTAAAGAGCATTTCTAAGAGGCTATTGTAGACTTTTGTCAACAATTACCTTCGCTGGCTCTATACTGAAGTTCAGATGGCTACGCAGAAAGGATCTGCAACAAGAAACTCCGGAAAAGAACCAATGAAGAACCTACTGACAAACAAATATGTTGGAAATGCTTAGGAAACATTCTGAGGAGACCGCTGGGTAATACGCGTGTGAGGCAGAGATTCGGAGGGAACAGAAGTGGAAACCAAATCTTTAGGCGAGGGAGCAAGGGTGACAAAGAGAAGACCATGCTTGGCTCTACTAAAGATGGCAGCAGAAAACAGGATGAAATAGAGATGTGATATCACTCCTATTACACTAGTCAGTTTGTCAGTATTACGTTTCCAGGAAGCACAACTTCACTGTATTGCTTGATTTAAACTAGTGATTGCTCAGATGACTTATTTCCCCGTTTATATACTTTTACACTGTTGTAGATGTTTGTACAAAGACATTTGTGGAGAAAAAGCCTGAAAGGAATCTAATGAAATCTTTTCTATCAACCAAAGAGTTATTAATTCACTGTGGTTTATCACCAGTTATTTATAGAAAAGAAACATACACGAAACGCTGTTTCTTGACAACCAGTCGAATGCCATTTAAATGGACAGGTAAGCAGTTTTTACACAACCGGAATAATGGATGAATTTTGTAAATATATTCTGATGTTGATTCCAGCATCCATTAGCGATTATTGAAAACAAGGGAGCACTGTACAGCCATTTTTCTTCAGTTTGGAGCCTTTCAGAAGGGTACCCCAAAGACCCACCTTCAAGTTACCTGTTCACACTCATTGAACATCAAGTCTTTTGAACCAAAATTCAATCATGGCTACTGGATGGAAGTTATGTAGCTGTACCGAGAATTCAAAATCAGTAGAATCCATCATGTCATGATAAAAATGAAGGTTATCGGATGCATTAGTTGAGGGTAACACTATATCGCGAGGTAACAGATTTTGAATAAAGGGGTCAGTGAATTCCAGCCCTAATGGTTGGTTGACTAATAATTTTGATCTTGTAACCTGAGGGTCCTAGGTTCACTTCATATTGGATTTGCGGCCGTGCACTGCTGGACAGTCCCTAATTGGTAGAACAGAGCTGTCTAGCATTCTCCGGCTTTCAATGATCTCGAATCAATGCTGGTCCGATAAAAAAAACCACACCGAAACATTATTCCGAACCACAAAAGCTCATAATTAACGCATTTCGTTCAATAATTATAATTTCAGATTTTGGACCAAGAATATCAGAGGTTGCTATGCTTTTGAAGCCCAGTAATACTATTGTCGCTCAAAGTGATAATATTAGTGCATTCATAAGTGATGACATGGGTTTTACATGGAAAGTGATTAATCAGTTTTTGATGAAACAAATGATGATTCGATCATCAGAAATAATTTATTCTACTAAAATGACGCAGTATTATGCCAGGAAAACATATGGTGAAGACTTTATAAATACGATGTGTGAGGGAAATAATAATGATGATTGGAAAAGTAAGTAATATTTTAAATGCTTTCACTTACTACTAAATAATTAAATAAGTAACGTGTAACAGACAGGCTTTTTGGCATTTTGCGATAACAGATATAAATCTTCGAAAGAAGAATTATAGGCCTGTAGATAAAAGAAAGCTCTACAAATATGGGCTCCGCGCAGAAAGTACATAATAAAAATAAGAGGAATTATGATAACTATCGAAGCGTTAGACTGCTGGGATTTGACTGGTTACAATTCTGATCACGCATACGACTTGTTTTAGAGAAGTGCTAAAAAACAGGGAGTCTTGTAGTGCTGTTTTGTCCAGGTGTTGAACACTTAAGCTGTACGAAACCAGGACCAAGTGTGCTGACCATTCAGTCATACTGGTACGGAATTCAATGAGCTGCCAATTAGGATGTGCAACCAGTGTTATCCACGAGCATCTGTCATTACTCTCAGATTATTGAACCCATGTGGTCACAACGTCGCACCAGAACTTCAGCGAACTTCATCCTGCATTCATTCACCTATGAGCAGTGCATTAATTCTCAAATGTTGGTTGGCAGGGACACAACCGATTTCAAGTTTGATCAACAAAGAATACCTGATAACCAGAGAGTACTGGCAGTTATTTCATTCCAGTTTGAGTCTGTCCAACATCACGAACCCATTTGCCCACTAGGTGATCGATTACTTTAAACGCTTACTCTGAATTTGTAAGAAAGACTGTACACTGAAGCGATTGACTTGATAGAATTCTTTGCATTCAGCAAAGTTTAAAGTACTAGCTTCTCTATAGTTAACCGAGTTTATATTCTTGGCCACAAATCTACGTTGCAAAACTTCTGTATGTAGCCAACTAATTCGCACATGTTAAAAGATAACAAGGTAGTTTAAATACAGTAACTTCTATTCAACAATTTTCGGTTCTAAGTGGTATCATGGTGTTTGACTGATGAATGCTTATATTCGGAATGATTATGACGACATCTAACATTAGAATGATTTCGGCTGCCGGAAACCGACACTTCGTGGTTTGAATGGAGGGAAACGATTTTCGCGTTCCATTGTATAGCTGTCTGAAACCTCCCTGAGAAATGTTCAGTTACAAAATGCTCCAGAGACAGCAAAAATGTCAGACTATCATTTGCTGGAGTCGATGATTCTCAGCAGTACCGTCACGCAGCTATACAGTCCAGCTAATTTTATAAGTGCAAACCACTACTTAGAGTATTGCGGAATATTCTCAAAAAGAAGGAATCAAAAAGTCAATCAACAAGCAGCAGACAATAAAATCCTTGGTCAGAATGATCTTAATTCATTCAAACAAATCACACCGTGAAACAAAATATTATCAACGTATCACAAGATCATAAGAGAAGCATTAAAAAAGCGAATAAACAAGGACGAAGACAATAAGGACTGAATCAACACAGGATATAGAAATGTTGAAATAACGATATAAATTCTTAGAGAAAAAAGGATGATTATTTTAAATTTAGTTGAAACACCCAACAAAGTATAAATATTGTGCTTAGGTCTTTTAGGAGGGATTTCCCAACTAATTTTTCCGTCATAATGGTACTATGATTCGACACTAGTAACTAGTGCGTTGTGTCTAGTCCGTTCTTTAGTGCAGACTTAATTCTATCAGTCAAGTTTGCAATGTGACCTGCATTCTAGGTAGCTCGTCGTCATGGTGCACATTGATTTGATGATATTAAATATTTGTAAGCAATCGGCAGGAAGCCCTGGACCTAGGTTTTTAGCTAGTGGGAACTCGTTAGCAAGGCGTGTCTGCAACGTTGAACGAAGTCATCTCCTTTCTGAGATTCGAACCCGCGTCATCCAGCGCTGCAGCCACATATATTACCACTGAGCTATTCGGCCTCATGATTGATGTGCACTGTGATGGCAAGCTACCTAGAATGGAGGCTACATTGCAAACCTGACTGATAGAATTCAGTCTGCACCAAACAAAGGATTAAACACGTCGCACTGGTTACTAGTGTCCAATCAAAACACCCACTACAGCCATATAGGGGATCAGTCGCGTGCCGAAATAGCTCAGTGGTAACATCTCTGACAGCAGCACAGGGTGACGCAGGTTTGAATCTCAGGAGAGACATGAATTTCTTCAGGGTTGCAGATACGCCTTCCTGACGAGTGCCAACTAGCATGAAAACTAGGTCCAAGGATTCCTGTGGCCGATTGCATCCAACTGTCTTACATCATCAAATAATGATACTTTGTCATCCGTCCAAAAGATCACCTCTTCTGTTACATTATACAGTCAAAAAAGCATTCTAATTTCAATTCATCAAAACCAAAAAACTCAATAAATAACTGAATAATTCTTGTTGATATGATTATGTACATTTAATCGTAGTTATATTTATGATTCTGTCTTATTTCACTTTCAGTTTGTGCTAATGGAATTGCCTATGGAAGCAAACTTATCACAGATTGGAGTAGTCACAATTTTACCCTTCCATTACACATTTAACTAAACAGTGTATCACTCAGTGAATACAGAAGCAAAGGTGACGTATACTCCCTGTCATTTTTATCCTGTTAATGAGAACACTATGCTTGATTACTTAGTCATGTGTTTCTCATTATTCCTAAAAATTATTAATAATAATCATAATTTAAAATACATTATATAGTGTTTTGCTTTACAAAAAAACTTGCAATACTTTTATAATAATTAACTTTATTTCAAAACAGTAATTAAGATACGGCATGGACTTCTCAGCATTTGCTAGAATATTGCATTTAAAATTGATACTGGCAACGTTTTCATCGTTAACAGTAACAATAAACTCAAAAATGTCTAATGACAATATTAATAGCTAAGATTATAAGGTAATTGAAATAATAACCCTTCAATTACAAACAGGAGAGAATAAAAGAGCCGTTTATTTCGATAATTACAGAGAAGCTTATAAGTTGTACACTCAGAACTTTCTCTATCACAAACAACGCACTCAGGCTAAATAGGGTATTGGTTGAAGGATTTCATCATGAGCTGACATAGGTTAGAGAACCATTGGAAAACCAGCCGAGAGTACTGGACGGCTATTTCGTCTTAGTTTGGGAAGTCGTCACCAGTAGGGTGTGGCAGGTTGAAAATGACGCAGTAACTCATTGAAGAAGACATTGCAAAATGGTCGCACCATATGTCATGAATTAACAAAAGTTAGAATTCATGTCCTGGCCATTGGATTGGGTCCCCGTGGTTTAATGGTCAACGAACTCTCTGGCCCTGTGACCAGCAGGTCCTGGGTTCGAACCCTGGTGGGGGCTGCGTACTGGTGAAGAGTCTCAAACTAGGTTGAAACAGCTGTCCAGTAATCCCAGGTTTTCCAAGTGTTCTGTAACAGATGTCAGCTAATGAAGAAATCCTTCAACCAATCAAACAAAAAATCCCTACAAAACCAATACTTGATAAGTAAGATATCGTTGAGTTTATGCACTTAGTTGAGCGAGCATATAATCTTTTATAATAACTTCTAGTCCCACCTACCTGATGAAATTTAAGACGGGGTGATAGTTGGTAACACAGAGGTTGTTTAAGGTCAGATAATATGGATTTAGACTATTTTTCGTGTGAGTTTAGCTCTCTATCTACAATAGCAACAAGCTGACTTATTGTCACACAACAACCTCTTATACTCTTAGCAATATGAAACAATCCTTCCTGAGTAGCCGAGGAGACACTTAGTGGGTGGAAGATCAATTAAGAAAAATGGGTAAGATGCAAAAGTCAACAAATTTTGAAACTAGGGTTTGAGTGATTGCTGAGTGTCTTAACTCTCTAATGTGGAAGGTTACTCAGAACATTTTCTTAGAAATCGACAAGATACGGAATGACCAAAAAGGTCAGAGGAAAGAACGACTCTAAATTATTTATTGCTTGACTTACTTCCTGTTTTAATGCCCTCTATGCTATCAACATCATGTGAACAAACAAGTTCACGTTAATTTTGTTTTAGATTTACAGCTTGATTCCACACTGTATTTTTGGTACAAGTATGGAATTTTCAGCATGGATATCGGTAGCCCAAATTTCGTAGGCCGACCATAGATATCAGGTGTGCGCCGGCGTGGGCTCGAACCCCGGACCATGTGCATGGTCGGCGAGAGTCCTAACCACTGTGCCACCAACGCACACTTTTATGCATGAGTGAGAAGTTAACTGGGTGACATTTGGAGGTATTTAACATAAGACCATTTAACTTAGACTACTGGTTGATGTCTGACAAAAAGATATTCAGTTTGGAACAGTTAGATCTCAAAGTAACTGGCAACGAGACAGTAAGATCACCAGAGTATTTAACAAAGTTGATTTCTTCCAAAACAGGAAAGTCATGTAAGCAGAAAGAAAAGAGAAGTGGAGAGAGAACAGCACTTTAACGGTATCCAACCTCAATAAGCAAGCCAGAGGATGATTTGTCTTCATATACAGTATGGTGCAATTGTCATAGCAATAAGACTGTAAACAGTTAGCAGCCCAGGATTTGGTTTGTGTCAAGGAAAGATTATTTATCAAAAGCGGATGTTTAGTCCAGGAAGACATATCGAATGAATCGATCTCCTTTATCTAAACAAGAAACAGCTTTATGATATATAATACCAATAGCATTTAAATTATATCTACGCGAATTGTTTAGGTTCATAATTTTTAGTGAATTCCTTATGGTATAAACGAATATAAAAATTATTAACACAATTAAGGAGGAGATTTTGTTTTTGATTACACGTGGACCAGTGAAATTCTGCACACCAATAATCATATATCATAACTTCAAGGAAAAGACTTGGACAATACAATATTATATCTTATCTGACACCAATTTAATGTTATCGGTGTGTGCCGCTCTATCACATGAATATATCTAGTATAGGACGTGAATATTAGGACAAACAGATCAGCGAAGAGTCTTTTCGGCGAATTCATTCCCTTAGCTGAACAATCGCATTTATAAATAATTATATAAAACAATTATTTCCTCCGATAAATTTGAATAAGGCATTAAGAAGACATATTTCGCGAGATGATATCTTCATTTCGTAGTTTCTTTACAACTGCTTTACAACTAACATGGTTAACAACAATAAAATAAATCTCATGACAATTACTCAGTTAAATAAAAACAAAAGTACATACTAATGACCAATCATATTTAAATAGGACATGTAGTCCATGGTAGGCGAAGACTGAAGTCTATTGATTTTTGTACACACAGTTTAGGCTGTATGTGATTTATCCAAAGTGCATCCATCGCCTTCAATAACCTTGAATTAGCGTTATGTGAAATAATTGTGAAACAGTCATTAATATTTATTTTGTGACCAGACATTAATAAATGTTTTGCAATGGATGATGATGATGTCGGATTTCTATTCAGATTAATCGCATTGGGATTTTCTATATGATTTAGTAGCCATTTCAGAACATGTTCTTTTCGACGACATTGGAAAATTCTGTTGGTTCCACCTATATAGGTGTGTGTTACCACAGCTGCAGGTGAACTTGTATATACCGTTTCAAGTAGAGTCCAGAGAATTTCGTCCTTTACTCGTAAATACAGGAATCGGAAATGCTCGGCAAGTGAGAAGAAGAGATGCGGCGGCGTAGAATGTGCGTTTGATAGCCGACCGAAGTCTTTGAGCTGTCAACTGCATAATCTGGTCGCACTTGAATGGTAGGTACAGAAGCTGTCTTTTCGAGATGTGGTTTTTCTTCACTGTGACAAGTGATAAAGTTCTCCGCATAGCCATTAGCTAATACAACTGAATGTATATGTCGAAACTCCTCCATCAATGTATCACTCGTATATAATTTTCGGGCCCTTGAGAACAAATATTTCAATGTGGAACTTTTACGCTGGATAGGAACAAAACTTGTGAAATGAAGAAATTATCGACTCCATGTCTGTTTACGAAAAATGGATCGCTGGATCGTTCCATCATCTCTCCTGGTCATTGTAATATCCAGGAAACAGACTACTGTCCATGATTGTTGAAGTATGGGAGTTTAATTTGTTAATTTACAAATATATAACACACATAAATAACTCACTTTTTCAATGGACAGATATTCACATCATCATCATCGCCATTATCTAGTGGATCTACATCCTGCGAAGGTGTATAATCGGCGCATACTTTTGGTGTAAAAGATACTAAGACTATTAGTAAACATCATTGCTTACCAGTAATACATATTAGTAGCATCTTCAAAGTTAAACGAACTAGATGATAATTCATGGTGTTATAAAATACGTATGAGACTATTTTATGAGCAGCTGCACAGTGTATTAATTGAGCCTCTATCAGATTTATTGGGGTGTCTATTTATACCTCAGTTTTAGAACCAACTAACAATATGTCGTTCCTATGGTGAATCTATAGCAAATCCAAACTACATGTTCTTACATAGACACAGTAGTGGAGAGAAAAAGATAAGATGCTTATTTGTTCTTGAATATCTGGAACAAAGACTATTTTTCACTCATCATTGTTCATTGCGTTTTATGAACAATGAAAGATTTAATTATTGTTCTTCAGCGCAAAACGCAAGAACAAGAATCACTGTGTTCCGTTCTGTGTTTTTTGAAGTAGTGTTGTGAATTTTACATAGGTAAATTTGTCTGTTAATTAGCCCTATTATCTACTTAAGAATATTATTACATCTTAGTTACAGTATCTGGAGATAATCTGAAGACATTGTTTAGTATAATTATTGCCTGTTTCAGCCTTGTGCCACCAGAGTCTAACTCTTTATAACTATATGCTTCTGAAATGAATATCAACATTTTTCAAGTTTTGGTTTTGTAGGGATTTTTCGCTTGATTGTTTGGAGGATTTCATTATGAGCTGACATCTGTTAGAGAACCACTGGAAACCACCTGGGAGTACTGTACATCCGCCTCATCAGCCTAATTTGGGGTTTATCATCAGTACGCACTCATCCACCTGGGTTCGAACCAAGGACCTTCTGTTTACAAGGCCAGAGAGTTCGTAGACTATTAAGCCATATCGATTTACAAAGCACTACAAAGTTATTCTACGAGATAATGTTTATTTTGTATACAGTTTCGATGAAACACTAATCGTTCACGCGAAATTCAAATTTTATATCTTGGATTTAGAAGACCATTCAGAAGTCTTATAGTATCTTTCGGCAGCCTTCGTTTGACAAAATTAAAACGATTAGTCCCTTCGATAAATTTGAATAAGGCATTTAGAAGACAAATTTGTATGTCTGTGAACTTAAGGTTTTTCGGACAAGAATAAATATTAGTTAGGGTTATTGTTTACGTCGTCAAAAGTTTTCTGAAAATATGGTGAATAATCAGGTTGTAACAAGGGAGGTTGATATGAAAGAAATCTAGAAAATAGGATCTTAATGAAAATGCATGGATACAAGTGTCCAAAACGAATTATATAATAGGCAGAAAGAGTACATAAAGGGTTGGTTAAGAAAATTTCCCCGAAATGTCTTACAAAAATCCGAAAATAGCATTAGTAACAAAGTAGTAGAATTTGGAATTATACCCAAGACAAGAGAGGGGT